TTGTACGTCCGCTCATATGGTTATGAACGAAGGTCAAACTCTTCATGAATTGACTCGCTCATTCATTTCCCGACGTCACTCAACCCCCCCCCCCCCCCCAGTGCAACCACCGCTTTCCTGCCACCTCTTCTCAGCACCTCCACCCTTGATGTTCGACCTGATGATGAGTTCCAATACGACGAAGACAGGGCCGTCCATCACCGTGAATGACAGCGCGCACACGGCAGCCAGCTGCGTGCCATGCTGTCTAACTGCTTCTGCTGCTGATAATTGGTTTTTTACCCTTCTATCTGGCAACAAAACTGACACCTTTTTACAAGGAGTCATGTTTGCATTGACCGCAATACCTGCCCTTGAAGTTGATTGGTCCACACCCGAGACAGCTTTCCTTAGAGCCTAGTCTCACATGGGTTGGACCAGATGATGCCAAAAGGCGCACAACTCAAAGACAATGCACCATCAGAGTATGAGAGCTCGGGGCAAGCATCTACACTATGGGAACCTCATTTGGCAGTAAAAATATGATAATTGGTTTTTTACCCTACTTCAAGGACAGTGCACATTATCAGAGTTATGTTCTTTTGTTTGTATTATGACTGCAGATATTGCGGTCTATGCAAACATGACTCCTTGTAAAAAGGTGTCAGTTTTGTTGCCAGATAGAAGGGTAAAAAACCAATGATCATATTTTTACTGGCAAATGAGGTTCCCATAGTGTAGATGCTTCTGCTGCTGTTGCTGCCGTTGCGAGAACCTCTCCAAATTCCTGGTAGTCAGAAAGAGTCCATCCTCCTACGGCTCCAGAGGGGGTTGAATTATCGCCGTGGGTTCCCTTTAAGCTGGCGAATTCTTAAACCGCGTGTAGGTGTATAGATTGGCGTGCACTCGGCTTCGTTAAGGTTTATCTTTTTGCAAGCGTGAACACAGCTACGTGTAAAGAGAGGGCAAAGCAGAGTGCGGCCAGACGAGATTGTGAGTTTAGAAGAGCTGAAACACCTGCAAAATGCAGAAGTCTTTCAGCGATTTAATTGTTAATGTGGAACAACGAATCAACCTGGGAGCGCTGTGGTGAATTCATGCCACAAGGTTTTTTTTATTGTACCTCACCTGGTCAGTGTGGGCTGGTGAAAGTGGGGAGCATAGTACAGTACAACGCAATGGATTTTTCGGCACTCTCCTCTGGTGCCTACAGCATAAATCCACAGTAGCCTATAACACGGTTTGTTCATGTTGATCGCCCATCAAAACACCGATTAGCTTCTGACATCGGACGAGATTGGGTGCATTCCGAGTGATTTGGTCAGAGGCGTCTGAGCTCATACAATACGGTGTTCAATTATACGCCTTCTATCGTACAATTCCATGCGATTAATTCATGTTTTTAATGGATGCGTTTTGCAAGAACGACTTAAACGCTAAAAGAATATAAATTGCCTAAGCTATTTGTGGCACTAAAATGACATGGAACAAACAGTTTGAACACAATTACAGATGTTTTGTTCCAACTTTTAAGACTGACTTAGTTTTGTGACTCATCTCCAGTCTCAGCAGGGCAGACGAGTGCATACATGAGTTTCCGCACTGCACTGTGAACCCAAACCATTATTTTTTTATATTATCAGCCACTGCTAACATCAGATGTGAGGAGTGAGATCAAAACCAGTCCTGCCCCTCCCCCTCAACCCGCATTGACCAGCGTGGTAAAGTGTGGTCGCACAACCCCCATAACCAATCTCCTACAGTGGATTATAAATAGTTCTGCAACTCTCCCCACCTTTTACTCTCTCCCCTATATAGGGCTCAGTTGCGTCGGGGCGGTTATCGGATTCGTGAGCGGCGTGATGAGCTGGAACTTGCTCGCGTTTTGTTAAGATGAAAATAAAATAGACGATTCTCACGATTCATGTATCATTTGCGAATTCGCCACTTTGGTGCGATGCCTTCTGGTTTACCTTCGTGTTGTCCTGTTGTGGGCCTCTTTTGCTACTTGGCCCCGACCGAAAGGTCACAACTCGCTCCTTGTGGGTCAGTGTATGGGGTGGGTGTCATGGCATAGGTCGGTGTTCTTCACGAATTTCCAGACGCGGTGGTGGGGTGGGGGGGCAATTTCGCTGATAAGACATCATCAGCGTGAGTGCCGCCACACATTTGAAACCATTGGGGGTTGACAGCACGATAGTGGGGGTGTTTTCACGTGTTTTAATTGTCGGGGGCCGCACATTAAGGGCCGCACTAAAGGCCACCAGGGGCCTCCAGTGGTCTGTGGGCCTTGCAATGAACAACACTTGCCATAGGTGCTCGCTAACAGCACTTTTGGTGTGCGCACGTGTTGATCTCCTAGCCTCGCCACCCACCCCACAGTCCAGTCGACCCATTCCTGAAGCTCCATCGAAGGATGGGGGGGGGGGGGTTAAGCTGGTTATGCGGGGAGGAAGAACCATCCAGCGTTTTAAAGCACGCAGGCTACCGGGCGTCGTGCAAAGATTAGCTCACTTTTCCGTGGAAGTGTGCCAAGCCTCCTGCTCCCCACCACCACCACCATGTGTGACTTATTATGATTGGAACGAAGCTCTGGGATGAGACGGGCCAGATTAGCGGGTCCCCGTAAAGCACGCCGCACAGGCAAACACGTGTAGTGTTGTTCAACACGGAGGCACACACTCTGGACTGGGAGGCAATACCTTTATTTAACAACTACCCGAGCGGGTAACACTGAGTAGCGAGTTAACTCGAGACGAAGACCCAGAGACGACGAGACGCGGGACCCAGGCTTGATTCCGCAGACGAGCCAAGAACTAGATTTGAAGCTTTCGTGACTGCATGGATTCATACTCTTAGGTTTTTTTCGGTAAAGTCACGTAAGTAAAAATAAGTAATACAAAATAAATTATAAAAGTAATAGAAAAAAAAAATATAATAGAAATAAAATAATAAATCACGACGTTTCGGAGGCAACACAAGTCTCCGTCATCAGGTAACCTCAGAGTATGAGCCAAGAACTCTCTCGCGACTGCCCCTTGATGCCCCTGGGCGTGGCCTCGCTCCGTCTTCGGCCACGCCCCCCTTCGAGACCTTTCCAGAAGCATCTCGACCGAGCATCACGTGCCTCACTCAGGCTACCATGTCCTCACTTGCCCTCTCTCTCTGAGGCCATCGCCAGGACGATGCCCCCTTAGGGCTGGCTGACATGCCGTACTTACTCTGGTGCTAGAGAGAAACTCCAGACGCACTCCTCCTGTAACAGTAGCTAGCGCGAACACCCTAGTGACACCATTTACATCACTACATCATGGAATAGCACTCCATCAATCTGTAATCTAAGTCTACTAGGTTTGTTTTCTCTTTCATTTGTACCTGATTATGATTGCTTGTGTTGCAATCGAAACGTCGTATGCTATTATTTAATGTATTATTTTATCTTTCTACGTGACTTTACCGAAAGAACCAAAGAGCAATTAACCTTTTATTTTGGTATCATTGTGCAAGATGTTTTGTGCACATGACTGTGCTTTGAGTATTGCTTTCTATCAACAGTAAATACGAGTGTGATGTAGTTGGCTGTATTACAAAAAGGACATGTACACATTCCTGCGGAGGGAGCTGGTAGGAACGTTGGGTTGTTCGGTCAATGGCCAGGGTCAACGGCGGCGTGGTGTATTCCGCAAATAAACGTAGTTTTTTGTTATTTTCTTTCAACCTATCTACGTGACTTTACTGAAAGACCCAAAGAATACTAATACTGGTAGAAACCTCCTGGTTACACCAGCCCACAGGGGATTATTGTGTCCGTCCGTCTGTCGTGCAGGGAGGGGCTGGGTGGGGAGGGGCTGGGTGGGGAGGGTGGGGCTGGGTGGGGGGTGGGAGGGGAGGGGCTGGGTGGGGAGGGGCTGGGTGGGGCTTGGTAGGGAGGGTGGGGCTGGGTGGGGAGGGGCTGGTCACCCCCTGGTGCCCTTATAAAACTCAACGTTTAACCTACTCACGCCGGCTTGTGCCCGCCCTCACAGTCGGCCATATTTGCGGAACACACCACGCCGCCGTTGACCCTGCAGGCCATTGACCAAGCAACCCAACGTTCCTATCAGCTCCCTCCGCAGGAATGTGTTTTAGTTACCGAATGCGATAAGCGTCGAAAAAGATCAGTGGGGCGGTCGCATACTCCACCTGACGTGGAAAATGTCCCTTTAATGTCGATTTGAAGCTTTCGTGACTGCAGGAATCCATACTCTTTCGTTCGTTCGGTAAAGTAGGTAGACAATAATCGATCACGACGTTTCGATCGCAACGCTGTAATTTAGTGAACGTTGCCCTCCCCCCCGTGTTGATGTGCAGTGGGATTTGCTGCGCCACTGTGTGTCCCACCTGATGACGATTGCTCGTGTTGCGATCGAAACGTCGTGATCGATTATTTCCCTTTTAAGTGGCACCGATTTCAATAATCAGCCAGCGGGTTCTATCCACTGCTGGATGCCCGATACATCACTGCGTGCCCATTCCGCGTGGAAACGTTACGCGGCATTCACAGATTGCTTATGGAGAGCAAGAGAGAGATAGGGGGAAAAAAACAATACTGCGTAATTTGTTTTCCTCGTCAAACAAAAGACGTGAAAAAAATACAAAAAATTATTTCGGTCTTTCAGTAAAGTCACGTAGATAGGTGCAAAGAAAATAACAAAACCATCTACGACGTTTCGATCGCTTGTGTTGCGATCGAAACGTCGTAGATTATGAATTCCTGCAGTCACGAAAGCTTAAGTCAAGATAAAATAAACACTTAAAACCACCCTCCTTGCCTTACAATAACAACCATTTAGACAACAATAGTGACACACAGCGGCACAGCAATTCCCACTACACATCCGCACGGGGGGCAACGTTCCCCAACTCCAATTGGTTGAACCCTCGGAGCCCTTGGGACGAGCACGCCTTCCATTGGCTCTCGGGTAAAGCGACAGCCAATCAGACGCCGGGGTGGGCGTGGCCTGACGTATCCGCGCTAAGGAATTAAATTCGTCTTAGCCCCTCAGCTGACGCCGCTGATCGCAGGGGGCGAGAGAAGCAGCAGAGGCTGCGAGGCAGCCCCCGGGATCAGTCGTCTACGGCCATGGCTCGCCTCACGACGCTGCTCGTCTTCACCGCCATCCTCTTCTATCCCGCGGCGCTCGGTGAGCAAATTGTCGCGGGGATTTAAACAAATCGTCGTCATAAAGTTTGACGCTCTTCTCGAGCCCCGGAGCGGCGGCGGGGGAGCCGCAGGCCGCATTTTGTAACTGGTAGCGCGGACAGGCGGAGGAATGTCCGCGCGGCCAATCGGCGAGCCGGTCGCGCGTCACGTTGTGCGGGCGTTGGCCAATGGGGCGCGGCCCCCGTGGGCGCGATCGCCTATGCGGACTGCGATTTCGAAAGGCGGCGCCTGGACACGTAACGGGGGTGGGGGGGTGAAGGCCCCTAAAATGGCGGTCGTTATTTTTTTTAGTTTTTTTTTAGCTTTTTTTGTTATTCACAAGTGGTGAAGATAACGTAGGCTGATGCCTTTGTGGAACACCGCACTCGTGTTTTTTTCTGTGGCCCTTGCGAACCGACTGAGCAAGCGTCGCTGACGGGGGGGGGTGGTGTTGGTGCGTTGGCGTGCGTGAGTTTATTTGCCGTCTTAATGGATGCCCCCCGTGTGTTTCTAAGAGTCGCGTCTTCCCCCCCCCCCCCAGAAGGCCTTGATTATCCCACGCCCGTGATTGTTTTTTTGACTGTGCCCACCGTAATTTTGTACGTGTTTGTTGTCAGGCCAGAGTCGAGCGTTGTTAACTCTCATTAAAAAGTTATTTCGTTGCTTGGCTGAGCGTAGTTTTGTCGGCGTGCGCGGTCGTGGTTGCGTGCTCTCTGTGCTTGTGAGGCCAACCCACACGGGTTGATTGTGAACGATAATGAACAATCGTAAAAGCAAAATAGTATTCGTAGTTTGCTTAAATTAGAATGACATTTATCTTCGCGCGATGTGATTGTGCAGATTCAGAAAAGTACGTCGATGAGTATGCAGTAGAGCAAGTAGGTTGCTGACCTCTTACTCCGTGGTCGAAAGCCTTTGGATAATTGGCGTTACTTGGCATTTGAAGGATGTCACTGTTATATCTTTATTAAATCATTGTAGGATACATTTTATGATTGTGGCGATGGTTTTTAAGGAACGCCTCGTTGAGTTTCAAAACTCATGCCGGGGGTGGTTCTGCTACACCTACAATTGGACAATTTATATTTAAAGTTATTTTAGTGTGGGGTTTAGTGTGGGAGGAAACCCACGAAAACGAGGAAAACAATACTGTGTATCACACTACTGTTCCGTATTTTAGGCGATTGAGATTTGTGTAGGAACAGTATTTAAATTGCATAACAACAGGATCAGAGCCCATTAAACAAGACTGTGTAAATCTATTTAAGTGCAATATATTGCCTGGGATTCCGATGTAAACTAGTTGCCAGGTAAGGGACACGTTTCCTTAATGTGTTTTATGCAATTGTACACTGAGGTGTTTAAAGACAGTCCAATAATCGATTTCTTAAAAATGCGCTTTAACATTTTTAACAGAGTAAGTAAGCAATTTCGAACCATGCAAGACATTTCGTAAGCTTGTCTTGTGCAGACTCCAAAACAATTACATGTGTAAACCATTTTAGACGAGATATTCATTAAGTATGCCTTCTATCATTACACCATATATAATGAGATAATGCAGCCAAATCACAAATGCAATATTGCATTTAAAATCTCAAGGTTTTAATTGATCAAATGTAAGTTTTTTTTCCCATCCATGTAACACTTATGGGAATCTGCTAATTGAAAAAACCCGCAGTGTTTTGGCTATACAGTGTGTGATATGGTCTGTATTATGAATGCTACAGGCTCCATTCCCTAGAGGTATGTGTGCGCTATATGCCTTAATTGCTTAATGTTTTAACTGGCATTTTAAAGGGATTAAGCTTGCAGAATTAATTCTACCCAAAATTGTCTTGCAAGAGTGTTGGTGCCAGCGTCAACGTTGTGTTTGTTCCTAGCAAACTAAAGTGAGGTACAGTATTTACTTTTTTATTTTGTTCATTTGACTAATATTTGGTTTTGGCAACGTTAACTGCACAAAACGACTGTCGCAAGCTGTAAATAGCTCCTGTGGTCACGTATTAGCAGGTGACGGGGGGGGGGGGTCACGTTAACATTAAACAATCCTGGTGACTGAATCTCTGACGTCTTCGGTTTCGTCCAAGCACAATGGTTGTGCAAATATTTGTCACCATTTACATTATCACCTGTGAAGTCTGAGAAAGAGAGTTTTTGCATTGGACGGAAACAACATTGAGTTTATAATTTATTTGAAGAACCCGTATAAGCTCACATTTGACCATTATAGTTATTAAATTAAGGTATTCATTGCAAACCACCCCCTGCTATTTAATGAAGCTCATTAAGAAAGTCACTCAGAAGGGTTATTGGATTGAAATGATAGTTTCGGTTGAGGATTGGAGATGATGGGTTTGACTCGATGGTTAATAATACTTTGTGTTTGTCTGGGCTCAGGCTCACCACGTGAAGCACAGAATTAGCCCTCTCCAAATTTACCCGTGTGCTTTTGTTGCGTGTACATGAGCATATTTAAATTATTTCTTCTACTATTTAACATTAACCTTTAGAGAAACTCTTGATGCATTGTGTGTGCAAAATTTAGCCAGTTTCATTGCTGCACGTGTGGACTGCAAATGCATTTTGTGTGCTGAAATCGACTGATTAAATCATTGATTCGCAAACAGCACGCCGAAGGGATCAACAGAGTTAAATCTTTAAATGGCTACCAGTCTACACACAAATAGCCCAGTGCACAGTGTCCAATTTACGTGTGAGTTCTGTAGATTGGTTGAAATGGAAACCTGTGGTGTGGTGAGCCAGGTCAAGCCACATGTCTGGGAATTTCCAGCCCATTTTGGTTGGTTAATGTTTATGTGCTTGGACGTATAGTGTGATGGCTTGTTATTGTTGTTGTGTAACTCTACAGTGAGATGCGGTAATGGCCTAAGCCAACACAGCACAGCCACTCAACGTAATGTTATTGCCCAGATATTCAACAATGGCAGTAAAGACGCACTGAAAAGCATATTTCACTGGCTTGCGATCAATTGAAATTGTCAGTTTAGTTATGCGAGCCTCTTGAGTCGGTCAGGGATTTTTGGTGTTAGAGTACCCAGCATGATGGCATCACGTTTTTTAGCCACCCGATCCTGTTTTTGAATTGATCAATTGCAGGTCAATTTTTGACCACAACAGACCATTCTGAAGATGCCTAAATTATTACTACCTGCTTATTTAAACTAAATGAGCTAATGGATTTCAATTCTTTGAGGCACTTGATAATTCGTTATATCCTGCCGAGTTAATTGGCAAAGCCTTCAGTAGATGATTCATCCTAACCACTACCCTCATTTTTTACCATTTTAACTACATAAGCCATTTTGACCTGGAGAATAATACAGGGTGAAAGACTATTTAATACACGTTACAAACTGATACATAACGGTGACAAAATAATACACAAAAGAGAAAAGAAAATGGTGTGAATAATTTTTGGTACTCCATTGTTTATAATTACTGTGCAATGACTTGCTTTCACTGGAACTCACTCTCAATGTTTTCATACATTTTTTAAACTTCACTTTTCATAACACGTGTTGAGCTACATGACCCACGTTTGACCATGAGCAGTCGGTTGTTTTTATGTTTTTATCTATTTATGAATTAATCTGTTCTCATGCCATAGGGTCTAAACAATTCACTGTCGTAATTTTTGAAAACAAATTACAGTCGGGACAAAGAAGTGAGAGGCTGAATCGTTTCTTTTCAGTACAGTAATAATGCAGAAACGAGCTCGGTCCATATTGTGAAATCCATTTCAATATCGTTTTGAAAACTACAGCTTAATTCCTGTTAAATACACAGTCTGCCGTGGAAGGTAGTGTGTTCAGGTTTTTAGACATTTGCGTTTATTAGAATTATTAAATCGCAATGACAAAATTGTATGAACCATTCCTGACTGACATTAGTTAATAACGTTGCATTTGCTTTTCCTTAACAATGGACACGGGCAGTACAGTACAAAGTTTTCTGTTTTAATATTTGACGTCGGAAACTCAAGATTGCTTAAGTGTGTGTTTTCTTTCCTGTTTGCGTAACGTATTACGGGTCCAAAGCTGATCACTGCTTATTAACACACACCACTGAGCGTTGTTAACAGTCCATTTTTAATCGATTCACTTAGCCATTGGACTCTGGGTTCATTCCTCCGTCGCGTTTTCGTGGAGCCAATGCTTTGGCGGATGAAATACAGGCCGTCTGGTTAGTTGGCACTTAGCAAACATGCCCACAGGTCTGCAATTGCAGTGCTACCCCTCACGCCCCCACTTCTTAACCGAGTGCTGTGGCAGCTGCAGTTAATTTTGGCAGGCGCTCTTGGAGGGTGTGTGTTATGGATGACACACGGCTTTTAAAGTGGATACTAAAGGACACCTCTTATTAAAGTCTTCTACCCTGTCAGGACTTAAATATTTAGGGGGGGAAAGTTGTTTCTGGGCATGAGTTGTGACCACCTGCTGGGGAGACCACTTTCCAACACCAGGAAGTGTTTGTCTCGATGTTGTTTTTGTGTTAACGGAGGCTTTTTAGCGTTTAGTGCGGGCTAGCTTGACTCACACAAACACATCGAGTCATTTGCACTTACTCGAAAAATCCTTTTGAAAATAGAGTAATTGTCAGTTTGTTTCACACTTTCACAATGTGTGGCTCATTTGTCAACCCATCTCTACGCTACCTTTAATATTACAGGATATACTGTATATTGACAAGGGTGGAAATTAAAAAAATACGTTCATACTATCCTCAAGCAGTTTAATATTTAAGTAACGTTTTAATATTACAACCGTATTGTATATACAATTTCATGGTGATAATGCAAATAGAGGTGTTGCATATTTTTGAAAAATGGTGAAAGTTCCATGAGATGTCGGCTGCAGGTGACGGTGTGTACACACTGCGAGATTCACTATCAAACCGTGCCCGCCTCTCTCCCACATAACCCCCTCACAGCCCTGCGCTGCGCCTGCAAGACCTGCGCCAGCAGCAACTACATCTGCGAGACGAATGGCATGTGCCAGGTGATCGCTGTGCGTAATAAGGACGGTCATGTCACCAATGACCGCAAGTGCTTGACAACCGAGAGCCTGCAGCCGCCAGAGCGGCCTTTCCTGTGCGTCGACTCCGTGGGCTCCCAGTCGCGGTTCAAGGTGCAGTGCTGTTCGCAGGACCTGTGCAACAACAAAACGCTCTCGCTGGATCCGGTGCATGATAACAACGGAGGGAAACAGTCAGGTGGGTGGCTCCATGATTTTTCGCGTTTGTGTCATCTGTCAGTCTACCGATGGCACCTGGGTCTTTCCCGTGACCTGCCAGCAGGCGTTCGATACTTTACACGGCCTTAAAGTGCACATAGCCTGGCACATGCGCTGTGGTGACATCACCTGCCGCTTTGTGGCGAATGGCGGTTGTTGTAGATGGTTTCATTCTAGTTGCTAAGTAGAGGCAATGAGCCTTTGATAGGAAGTGGTGAACAATCGAGAGAAGTACAGAATATTGTACTGTAGGTGAGCATCATCAAGCAGGGTTTTGTTAGCGTTTTGGATAGGTAATGCATAAGTCTCCGTGTGACTGCACCAAGTCACCATTAAAATTCCTTTGTTGGAGTCTGGACAAATTCTCAAATGTTTTTTTATTCTTTTGTCTTCAAAATATAGGTCTGGGAAGCCCGTGAGCTGATTTAAAGATAATACATATTTTTAAGGGGAGAGGTGAAGTGACTTTATTTTATTACACATTGTAATGTGTAATATGTTTTTATGAGGTTTAAATTAGTTTTACGTGTATAGTGACTTGATGGAATTAAACCGGTCACCAAATGAAACATTGTATTGATTTCAGCCATCTTCAGCCTTGGGTATTGCAGCCATTGTATAGCAAAACCGTTTAAGAGCTGGTGTTATAGGTTGAGAAACGAAGTGCATGTTTTACCCAGGTCAGCGGCTATTGGAATGAAATACTTTTTTCCCCTAAATGTTTTTCTTCCTCCATTTAATTAAGTCGCTAATAATGCACACCCATAAATGAATATATATATCACATGTTCAATTAACTGTATTGCCCGGAGCCAACATCCAAATTCATGTCAAAGCCCAGCTGCCTAGTTTTAATAATGAAAGTTCACTGAATGTGTCCCATGTGTCACATCCTGAAGAGTAATTATCTTCCTTTGCTTCCATCGTTGTGTAACACTTGCTCACTACACCCCCCCCCCACCCCCCTCAAAATCTGTGCCTCCTTCATTAGCAAAAGTGCTTGGCCTGTGTTTCTAATTGAAGTTAATAACATAAAGCAACTGTGATTAGCCGGTTACTCATTAGCATGTGAAAGCCAATTGAGATGCACAATCCGTTTTGGAATCTTACCAATAAATTGTTAAATGTGAAAAGTAATGTTGTGGAAAACTTAGAGCATTTATTAATTTTGGATTCATTATTTGAATCTGCTGATGGGTTTCACTGCCCTAAACGGATGTTAAAGATTATCATTGAATGACATCAGCCAATGCACAACCTTCAAAGGGAATGTAAATCAAAGGAAAACGATTCTTGAAAGATATTAATGTCAAGAAATCTTGGTCAATGTCATCGATACCATCACACACCACTTGCTTTCTTGCTTTTGGTATAATCTCTCAGCTTTTGCACCTTATTGTCAAGCTATTTGCTTACAACATGCCACTGTCTTCAGGTTTTGGTTAACTAAAAAGCGTTTGGCAAAACTCTTTAAGAAGGAATAGCCCAGACATTTTAAGTTAGAACTTTCCAGAAAGAACTGTGCAATTCAATGAGGCTTTTCTGGATAAACAACGGCCTATTAGGTATCACAAAGCAGAGGACAAATGCCTTGGCACGGTGTTATTTGAGCAGATGTCAAATTTCCAAAGATTAGTGTTGGTTGTGCCTTGAGTGCCTTCTACCTCGGCCATGCCTGCAGTTATCCATTGACCGCAATAAATTATTGACAAACGAGTGCAGTCTCCAATCTCTTTTCCTTGCATGTTTGTTTACTTTGTCTCCTGTTCAATATCTCATCCTTTGCGGCTCGCAGATGACAAGAGGTTGTTGCCGAGTTTTGAGCGCTCCCCATTAAACATTTTGATCCACTCTCCCAGGCCTTGTTCTCTAAAAAACAATATAGCTTTTTTTTAAGTGGAATAGTTTGGAGGTTGTTTGTGTGTGTATTGCTCATCGTAGTACTGCTTTTGGTTCTTGAATTATAAGCAGAATGATAACAAATGTCTGATTAAAATCAATAGTAGTAGTATGATGTGTTGGTGTTTAAAAACAATCTATCGTAGAGTGGTAGTAATTAGTTGTGCCCATCCTACTCTCTGCCCCCCAGCTACAGCCAGGCCTACTCCAGCCTCTCCTTAAGCACTCCCACCTGTCCTAACAGTCACCGTAACTACACCCACACTCTTTATTTTAACCACTATCATATGTACAATTTTATAATTATTGTAAAGGGTCTTGGACTAGGTCACTCTATAAATAAACTACTGTTTTATAAACTATTTTTATTTTACCAGGTAATGCTCACTGGCTTATGTAGAAATGTATAGCAGCAAAATACTCAACACATGTTCTAAATGTGGAGGAAAAAACCGGAGGACCCGGAGAAAAATGCACGTGACCATGGGGAGAATATGCAAACGGCAAATATACAGGCATCGTCAGGGACGGGATCGGACCGACGACCTCCTGCATACCAGGCGAGGGAGTTAACATCTCTCCATCACGGTACCCCATCTATACAAGATAAAATGTGTGATCATTCTGTTAAATTGACCCTCCCTGCAGATGAGCGCCCGATGAGTTCCCTGGAGCTGGCAGTGGTCGTTCTGGTGCCGACCGTGCTGTTGGTCGTGGCACTCATCGCCTTCCTGTGCCATCGCCGCTCGCTGCACCGTCACCGCCACCATCCCGTGCCCGAGTTCGATGCCGAGCCCTACCGCGAGGACTCCTTCATCCCCGATGGGGCCTCCATCAAAGATCTGCTCTACGAGATGACCACCTCTGGCTCGGGCTCAGGTTGGTGGAGTTTGTTTACGGTGTTTGATTGACTGTGGCATTCAGAAGCTGTTTTGTTTCACCCTGATCGCAGTGGCATTTGGCATGTAAGGATTCAGCCTCAATTCTGATCCCCTGGCGATTTTATTTATGGTCTCAATGTAACTCAATGTATAATTTGTCTCATTTTACGATCTCATTTTATTGCTACTTACTCCATTAGCTTATTTATAATTGGCCAAAAAAACATGATTGATTTTAACATGGTGTATGCATTAATTACCATTATGAGAAGCAGTTAAATGGATGAGTTTATGGATCATGACATGTCCACTTGGTAACTAATGATTTACCCCATCCCCACTCTTTGCGATTTGGCGCATTGCCATGATTGGGAGGTCACAGTTCTGTTGAAGAATAGTTGTTTTTTTCTTGTTTGTACTGTCTTTTTATTTTGTTTAATTTGAAATGTGTGTTTGCAATAATTTGTGTTGTCCCTCGTTTCTATTGTGTGCTCGCTCCCATTTGTTGTTGTCTCATCCTGTCAGTTTTTTTTCTTGTACTGTTTTGTCTCCACACCCGTATTTCTTCTGCCTCATTTGTCCACTGTTCTAAGACAAAAAAGCATAATGTTTGTATGACTCAAATGCATTTTACATGCATGATCTGATGCAAGTAATATGATTATAAGAATACATTTTATTCTATGAATCGTTATATAACGAACGAATCATGTACTTGATGTTTATGCGCAGCACTATGCAGTATTGGGCGATTCTGATACTGCATCACAGTTACATATCGTACCGATCAGTAGAATGGCTGTTGTTAAAGAAAACATTAAGAATCTAACGTCTAAGTTATTACCTCTATTACTAGTCACTTGTAAATATATCAAAAAAATCCCCAATCTTCATTATTGCTATTAATATCCTTGGGTTATTAGATCTTTTGAACAACTTTTTTCCTTATTGGCAATATTCAGCATGAGGCATTTCCAAGACAATGCTTTTATTGTGCAAGACTCTTTAACGTAGGGCATTCCTAGGCAGTCTTAACTGTATTGGGACCCTCCTTTATAAACACTGAAATGAACAGCACTGTTTTGTTTTCACGCCTTTGTTTACCTTGTATTAAGCCACTGGTGATCTTTGCCGTTCTGTACTTAGGGCCTGTAAGTCTATTAACTCTGAACCCCAGAAGGCTCAGCAGATGGGGGAAGCTTTTATGTCTGTTAAATTCCTCATGTTGCATTATTACCTGACCCATACTGTTGTACTGCTCGTCTAGTTGTCTGGGTTTATTTACCTCATCATAGCTTGTATGACTCTTACCTGTTTTCTTTTGTATTATGAATTTGTCATTTATATATTTTGTTATCATAGTTTTTTTCTGATTGTTGCTGTTTTTGCGTTGTTATTGTTGTTTGGTTTTTGCATTTATTATCGTGACGAATCCTGGAATTTGAAAGCAAGATTTTTGGATCATGCATTGACCCTCTCTATGGCAGTGCGTAAGCAGTACAGCAAGTACATTTCCCGCCAGTTATTGGTGTAGAATTCAAGTATCCTCCAATTGTATGCATTCATGATTTCCCCCCCCAGAAACTGCACTTTCCTTCAACACAAAGCAATACCAAAATACTCAATTGGAATTGACCAATACTCTGTTTACCCCCGTGTGCAGGCCTGCCGCTGCTGGTGCAGCGCACCATCGCACGCACGGTGGCGCTGCAGGAGAGCATAGGTAAAGGCCGCTTTGGCGAGGTTTGGCGTGGAAAGTGGCGCGGGGAGGATGTTGCCGTCAAAATCTTCTCGTCACGTGAGGAGCGCTCGTGGTTCCGTGAGGCCGAGATCTACCAGACCGTCATGCTGCGCCACGAGAACATCCTGGGCTTCATTGCCGCCGACAACAAGGGTGCGCCATGCCCTCGTCCGCCCAGAAACCTTAGATATTTCTACACCTCGTAAACCTTTAATCCTCATGCATCCCAATTACAATTGCTGTGATTACTGTGAGATGGAGGCGCTTGTGTCCTGTAATGCTCACAAACGAATAGAATGTCACGTGATGTCAGGGAACAGCCCATGAAGTTACGCCTTAGAAATAGTCGAGTGTAAATCTAGATCTTAAATGGCATAGTCAAGCTTTCTTACACCTTTTTATAGTACAGAGCTGCCAGTTGCTACAGCATAATATTTTAACCCGATTTAAATCAATAATGTTTTTAGTAATATGGATAGGGTAGCTGGCAACAGGAATAGTCCTCACAAATGTGTGGCTCACTCGCCTTAAATGTAAGGTGTGCAATTTTTCACCTATGACTTAGATCATAGTCGTCAGTAGACTGTCATTTATATCGATAGGCTTGGCCACACAGAACTATCAGCGATGGTTGTGGAATTGGTTGGACACTGTATATAACTCCCATTTTCAGTCTAGCTGAAGGTTTAGTGTATTGCAGATACCTCTGCAGATATTCCAGTGAATTAGATTGGTGACAAATATCTGAACCGGTCCTGGACCTCCCATAGGTCGACTCGGCATTAAATGAGTTCCTGTTGCAGTGTGTAAACATCAACACTGGGGAGAGAAAGGTTTCTGGGCATGGTGCTGGCCACTCACCCTCTCCTGTGCCGTGTAAGGTGTTCATAGGTGCTCGCGAACCGGACCTCCCCCAACAATCTGTTAAGGCGAAAGGGGGGGGTATTTGTCTTTGTTAAACATGTGTGGCCATGTCTCCCATATACTTAATGTACTCATGTACAGCCCTGCAACCGCTCCTTCATCACACCACATCCTCCATTGCTGTTCGACATCACACCACCACTGGCCATTTACAAGAATACTAATGAGGATTTCCAAACATTTCACGATTTTGACACTATTGTTCTACTGGGAGTCTTAAATAGGTCTCTCCATATACAAAATAAAACCATGTACACAATGCCCTGAATATAGTTTTTTGTCTCATGAGATTCCAACCAATCTGTTGAGTCCTCAAAGCTGGGATATTCCAAATGAAGTAAAACTATTCTAGCAATGGCTTTTTTTTCTCGTCTTCAGTAACCAGGCTGAGACCATCAACTCTCTTCACTGGAGAACCTGGTATAACCATGAGTATTTGAAACACGGATTTGAACCCGGGACCTCAGTTGTGTCGGCTGACAGTCTACACTGCACAGCCACCTTAGCTTGCCCCCCACCCTTAGCTAATCTTGCTGCGACGGACGGGACCTGCATTCCTTTTCAGACAATGGCACGTGGACCCAGCTGTGGCTGGTGTCGGACTACCATGAGCACGGCTCTCTCTTCGACTATCTCAACCGCTACACGGTGACGGAGGAGGGCATGGCTCGCATGGCCCTATCCATCGCCAGTGGGCTCGCTCACCTGCATATGGAGATTGTGGGGACTCAAGGTAAAATGTCTCCTCTGAAGGAACGCATTCATGGTCTGTTCTTGTCGGAGTGCAACACAAGGTTAAAGGTGTGTTTATTTGGCTGGGTGTAATGTTGCACAACTTGTAATCCTACATAGTGGAGGTCGGGTTTGTGTGTCATGCATAGATTGCCACCATTAAATGTCTGTGGCACCTACCTTTGTGACTTCTGATGTGCATATATTATTTAGTACCGAGTACATTTTTGCACAATTGGAGTGAAAGTTATAGTGTCATCTCTTCACATCCTTGGGTTTTCTACAAGTATTCTAATGACTCGTGAGATGCAAGGAACCACACACAAGCAGAAAGGCAGCCACGCAATGAGCCGGCGCCAACAATTGCCTAATCTCTGTGGTCCTTTATATATGAAGATGTTATTGGTCAATTAACGAGTGTTTACATATGGGAGAAAACCGGAGAACACCAACGCTTACGAGGGGGCAACACTCTATCCCATACAGACGGAACAGGTGGAGTCTGCATATTTGCTGTACTATCTTCTGGCAAGCCATGGTATGGCACCAAGATGCCCATGGGAAGGGAGTTTCACAGCATTTGTTAAAGCCATCAACCCTTGCCTCCATCCACATTGCTGAATTACATGAGTGCATCCACCACTGCCCAGCTAAATACTCAACTGGTCAAATGACCCATGCAGGATCCTATTGGCAAAGTATGTCAACAATTCTCCTGGGGCTTGGCTAAATAAAGTTTCGTTGATATGTTGGGTTAATGTGTAGATTGTTAAGAGTGTCTCAGGATGCAGTTACATTTACACACGTGCATAAATTAAACTTGTGTTTGTAACTGTGTTGTGTTGTGCCTTGACAGGCAAACCAGCAATTGCGCACCGAGACCTAAAGTCGAAGAACATCCTGGTAAAAAAGAATGGCACGTGCGCCATCGCCGACCTGGGTCTCGCCGTGCGCCATGACTCAGCCACTGACACCATCGACATCGCTCCCAACAACCGCGTTGGCACAAAACGGTGAGACAAGCAACAAAACCAGGGAGGGCCACAGTCCCATCTCAACAAAACCGCCAAAACAATGTGACCTGTCCCATTATTGATATTGGAGAAATTGGCAGTCTGTGAAGTTAACATTATTTAAAATAGGTATAGGCCAATACTTAAGTTGTATATTGGAACTAATAAATATCGTAATAGCACTGGGCAGTTGGGCCTTTTGATAATGAGTGAGTGAAGCAGACTTGGGGTCAACTACAATTATAATTGTCATTCGAAATTAATTACAATCTAATGCCATTGTAATTTCAGCAAAAAAATGCTGGTGTAATTGTAATTATAATGAGGCCCAAGTCTGGGGCGAATTGTTATTTTTACGTTTTTATCGTTTGTTATTTTCATGTCGTGTGCACCCTCAGGTACATGGCTCCGGAGGTGCTGGATGACACCATAAACCTGAAGCATTTTGACTCGTTCAAGCGTGCCGACATGTACGCGCTGGGACTCGTGTACTGGGAGATCGCACGTCGCTGCACGCAAGGAGGTACGATGGGTGGGGCGGCTTGTTGCGCCGAGTTGGAGGGTAACAGGAAATGCTCTGAGCCTTTGTGTAGCTATCAAGTGTGCAGGAAGTGTGTGAATGCATGGGCCCGCAGGCTTGCTGGGGCCCACTGGGCGCTGGGCTATGAAAATGAGGAGGAAATTGGACCAGTTGGCCCCATTTCATTCTTTGTACCATTGCCCATACCAAACATATGCTACACCAATGACAGCCTGCATTTATTGGGAGTAACGACCCACTTGTCAAAATTTGATTCACAAACTATTTTTTTGCCACTGCGGTCCAAGTAAAGTTCATATTGGTATGAATCTAGAATATTTAGTACTAAACATGAAGTGGAAATAATTGATTCCTACACGGACAATTAATTGTCTCTAGCGTGTGCGTATGAATTATGTTTTCGCAATTAATCATTGCATACCTCATGTTTACAGTTAGGCATTAAACAGCAAGGCTGTTGTAGGTATAGATTCCAAGTTATTGTTGAGCTGGTTGTGGTGACGTATGCCTGTAATCCAGTGCTTTGGTAGCAAGGGTTGGTTAGTGGGTCACATAGATTTGTGAAACTGTTGCAAGGGGACTAGTAAATAACAGCAGAGCCAATGGGTTCATCAACCCATCTGTGCAAACTTGCCAGTGTTATCTTAGTGTTGAGTTTTTCTCTCTGTACTCCAGTTCCCGCCTACACTTGAAACTCCCACTTAGAGCAAATTGGCCAAACATCATCATGCAGGACACTTCTATATAGTCATGAGACTTATGAGCTTTGGTGTTAATTGTATGTGAAGCTGCAAAGTGATGTAATGTGCATTATAATAATTGTAACCCCCTACCATTTCAGGAGTATTGGATGAGTACCAGCTGCCCTACTATGACGTGGTGCCATCAGACCCATCCGTGGAAGAGATGCGCAGGGTGGTGTGTGACCAGAAGCTACGTCCCAGCATCCCCACACGTTGGCACAGCTGCAAGGTGAGTGGTGGGGCCCATTTCTCTGCCCTCTGTTAACTTCTGCTTCAGCCTGCAACTGTTGATAAGCGAGTCATGTACTACTTGATACCAAAATTGGTGAAACTTTTATAGCTACCGTTTGTGAATTTGTCATGACATCTTGAAACTTTTGTCTTTTTCAATTTGATCCAAAATGTACTTTTGAAGTCGATACAAATTGTACCCCTTGCTTTCTGCACTGTCAAATTATTTGACCGTTTACAATTAAGCAATGCTTTTGGGAAGTATTTTTCACCTGGGCCGTTAAAAGTGTGTGTTAAACTTCAACATCACTTTTTAAACTTTGGTGGATGTTCAGATTTGGAAACTCATCAGGAGTCAGCAGTGGCCCACTTTGGCAAGGATTTGCACACGTATTGAGTTACTGTGCTTAGAGCAATTTATTGTTCTAATATTTTACATATTATAGTTATTGACAATATTGTCCGGCAATCAATGCTCATTTTTCGCATTTTTTTTAATTGCAATTGCTTACGCACTGTCTCCTTATCAACGCCCTCCCTCCCCTCATGCAGATTCTGCACATTGTGGCCAAGATCATGCAGGAGTGTTGGTACCACAACGCAGCGGCCCGACTCACGGCGCTGCGTGTCAAGAAGTCCCTTTCACAGATGCAGACGGCCCTGGCGTAGTAACACCACTGTGCCACCAACATGGAACCCCACAACACCTCAGTACCGGCAGCCGAAAGCGCAGGGATATTGAATAAATGTTTGTCTTTTTTTACAGATGTTATGAAATTAGTTTTGCTTTAATTCCTTCCTGGTTTTATAGTTTTGTTTCTACTATATTTTTTTTAACTCAGGCCTGAGTGCCGTAATGCACGACGTGCCCAGTCTTTGGCGAGGTCTCAATCTCCAGTAGGGTGTGGTTACACTGTGCTTTGTCGTGCTGTTCTGTAGACCACCCTTCCCTTTTTAATGATCAGGATGTGCAAGTGAAGGGGCAGAGAGTTTCACCTTTTGTTGGAAGTCAAAGGTGTCAACCAATGGCCAAATTGGTGATGAGTTCAGGGGCACCGTTCAATTTTGCTAAATCGTGCTTTGACGATTGCTTGGATGGGGATAACACGTTCCTTCGGAGTGGGCAGGTATAGGAACTTGGTTGGACAGCGCATTCGTGCGATCCGCATCACGCGGCGCAAGCTGCGTGGGGCGGCGTGTCACGTGGTGCTGAGCCCGCCCGAAGCGCTCTGAAATACAACTCGAGGGCGTGGCTATGCACGACAGACAGACAAATAATCCCTGGTGGGCAGTGTGGAACCTGTTGTTCCTACCTGTATATTCTCCAACCACTTAGAGCCTCCAGACTACCTCACTCCTTCCAATGTATATCCATGGCTCTTCAGGACTTCATGCCTCCAGTGCAGAGGCCAGGGGGCAGTGTGTGTGTTGAGTCAGCTTAAAGAATGAAAAACCAGTGTTAACAAAAACTTTCCGATTGTCACCATGATTTTTTAATTACGTTTTTTCAATGCATTGCCACCTTCATTACAAATAGTGATATTTGGTGACTAGTTTCATTCGTAATTTTGTCTTTATAGTCAACAACCTGACATGAAAGTTCAGGTTTTCTCTGCGTAAGATAATATTAACGTATTTACTATGTTAACAACACCAGACGTTTTCTAAGCCATAGCTCAAGCCATAAACAGGACCTTGTAAGTCACTGAAATGGTAAACGAACCTTACACTTTTTTAGGAACTACTCCAGACAGACGTATGTGCATCGGATGAGTAAAAAAACACCCCACAATAACCACATGTAGGGTTTGCACAATGTGCCAGCCTGTATTTTTCCCCAGTGTCCACATGGTGTATTGCGCATTAAGGGAATCTATTGAGCAAGTTGACGGGCAACATCTGCGGCTCATTGGGCAAATCATTGTGGCATTTTGTAACTGGTAAGGCCTTTACCTGGACAGAAAAATGGTGTACTTAAATTTTATGCAACATACAAACATTTGAATGTAATCTGCGTAAGCTCAGTGATTTTTTTATTTCGTATGCACGGTAATTTTTCCTCGGAGCCTCAAATTTCCGTCGTAATCTTAACGAATGAAAGTAAGCACGGTTCACCTCACTGCGATTAAAGGATTGTTTTTTTCATTGAATTTTTAAAAACAAGCATTCACAAATAGGATTTGGATATAGGATGCAATGACAAGCATAGTGATTAGGGAATTATCACATTTGATAAAGGTACTTTTTGACTGCTCATTGGATGTACGCAGTCGTGTTTAAAGTTTTATACAAAGATTTTATGTCTAATTAATTAAGTGTGAAACCTAACTATAGCAACAGGAGTTTTTTTTAAGTTAAATTTTCATAGTTTTTTATTTTAGTACTCATTGCCTTTTTCTTACAATTAACAGTCGAGCACTTATCCATTGTAAATATTTTTTACCGTTGACAAAATTTTCTTTTTAATTATGTGCCAGGTGATGTACATAGATTTTGAAAATATGAATATCGGTGTGCTGTTTAAATTATCTAGGTCTACTGCATCCCAAAAGAGTGGAGTTATGTGTTTATCGATGTACTGAATTATAAATCTGAAAGACAAATTGATGGCTAATAACTGACCTGTTATGTGTGTAACGTTCAATTGATATGTTAGGGATATATACATTATAGACGATGAAATGTTTTAAATTATGTGCAAAATTAGTTTCAAAAAGTCATGTTCTTACACTGCTGTAACCTATAATTCTAAACAGCCTTGTAACAGATTTGTTACAGAGCTGTGACTAAGATTGTTTGTGATTTGTATATAAATTGTTTATATATGTATATAATGGTAACAGGTTTTTTTTGCAGTTTAAACATAACTCTACGCTTCAAATTTATTAAAAATAACATGTTCTGCTCTGAGAATATTCTCTTGTAAAAATGTAAAGCAGTACACAAACTTCGTCGGCTCATGTACTTGAGTCAGTTCTGCTTTCATTTTTTCAAAAGATCGCTCATATCCAGCAGTGATAGTCACATCAGATGATAGTTGTGGATATCCTAGACATAATTGTTTTTTTGTGTTGACAGCATTATTTTGCCCTTGTGGTAAGCTTATCAACAGAGATTTGGAAACAGTACAAAACCAGAGTTTAGTTCATTTCAAAGGTGTACAAAATGATATGTCGTGCTGTGTGGGCTTTGACCATGTATTGTGCAACATTGCGTGGACCATGTAAAGTTAAATCGGATTACATGTACTTTCTAAAATTATGAGTTGGTGTTATTCTTCTCTGATTCATACTTTGTGTTTATTATTTCATTCTCCAAACTACGAATTTTTATTTTTGAAGTTGAAAATCTACAAGGGCGCTTTATTATTGGGGTTTATAAACATTAAGGATCACCAGCCTTTGTATTTAGGATCCACTTGGTTTAGAAAAACACGTAATTCATAGCCAATTTAATTAAATAGTTAATTTGCATTTCATCTGGTTCAAACAATGGCTTAAACACATTTAAAGCGCCGATTCCATTGCATCTGAAAAAATAAAGGCAACATAGTAAATGTATGATTTGAATGGTCCCGCCCTGTCCTTGTTAGAGGACAATTGACTTGTGTAACTCAGCGTTCTCCCTGCTGGTTGACTCAAAAACATTAAAGGAAATATCTGAGGTTCTTATCTGGTTAAATGACGAAATAATTCGGACATCTTGGGGAGCTGCCGTCAGCTCAAATGACAAATAGGTATTACAGCTCCGTGGGTTCTCGTCATCAGCCATTGTCCGTTCACTGCTGGATGAAGGCCTCTCCAAGCCGTCTTTAGTTTGCGATGCAACAATCCAAGACCATGCGGTCTTCACATCCCGACCACCGGCTCCAGGCCAAACCCACCACTTTGCGCTCATAATGTCTCTTACCCTGATCGTGTTCCCACGTGGTTAATGGAATGACTCCGTGGCCTCTTGCACAGTTAATTTAATGACGTAATCAAAGAGATCTGAAGTTTTCGCCTGGTTAAAAGATAAGATAATAAAAACAGCGGCCCTTTAAACCTGGTTGATTAAAATACATCAAAGACATGTTTTATCTTTGTGGGCTGTCATCTTTGTCTAATAAAGCACAATCGAATGGGAACAACAACGCAGTGGGTTCCTACATGCTTAATCAAATGACTCGGTGGCCTGTCACATTGTTAATTGACAATTTCAGATAACGACAATAATTAGAGAAACGACCTCGTGTGCGCACCTGCTTAATTAAAACCCCGCTGTATTAAATACACGGGCACCACGAGCTGCTCTCCCATTGGCCCAGAACTCGTTGTGGGCGAGGCCCACTGGTCGCTGCAGCTGAGTTGAGTTTCCAAGTTCGCGTCCCCGTCCTCTCGGCCCGCGTAAACAGACAAACAACTTACAGGATGGACGATCCGGACGGCGCGGAGGCGCATCTAAACAACAACAACAACGACGACGTCGTAGAGGTCATAGAATTGGACGGTGACGCCAACCCGGGTAAGATGCGGAAACCACGTTGCGTCCACGTGTGTATAATAGGCCCCAGCCTCGGCCTCGCCTAGAGGCCCTACGGGCGGAGGCACCCCCTGCCCGGCTGAGTACCAGGCCTATGACGGGTGGAAATGGTGCTGCTTTCGGTAATGTTTACATGACTTGTGTTTACATGACTTGTGGTTATTCTTAATTGCTACTCTATTTGTAATATTAGCGATGAGGTGGTGTGTTTTATAACTGAATTGTATTTGTGTTTAAGCTACTGCCTGTGGTTTGCGATTTTAATATTAACCCCCCTGGCCTGTCGAGGCTTTTGATGTGAGCAAGCGTTACGTTGACTTTGCGATCATCGTCCTCACCTGTCAACCCCTTATCAGCGCCCTAGCTTACTACAGACACATTTAGACCTTATTGGTCACCCCGTGATCCTTATAAATCTTAACGTTCATCCTACAAAGCCCCATCACAAGGGAGAAACACAAGCAGACAATGTTGTTGTTGCCCCTATTGAAACGTCTGTACGCCGTACGGACCTAAAAACTCAATTTCCCTGTACAAGAACACGGGCTAAACCGTGTGGGTTGACGGCTATGATCGTCCATGGTCGATCCCTCGCCCCTACCTCTCATCGCTCCGTTTCCTCGACTGCACATCCTCCTGACGGACGCGTTCCACTCCTTGGCTGCTACTATGTTGTTAGCCTCACCGTCGTGATTAACCATCGCACATCAAATTCATTTATTAGATATAGCCATGTGAGCCAATCGGCTCTTGAATCGGGTGCAACCGCAACAAACAAAAAACTAAAACATGAACAAGAAAACATCTTAAAGGGACTATGTGACTAAGTGCAAACAGAAAATCCAAGGAAAGACAGCAACATATTGCAGAAAAAACACCGTACACCAACGCTGTGTGCAGAAATCCCAGTGGGATGCAAGTCAAACAACAACAACCACAAGACAACTTAGATTAAGGCCATCAGTCTTACTCCGTACTACAACAAACAAACATGGGAAAACCAAAACACTTTTCGAAATCGCCAAAATAAAACCATGAAATTAGCGACATGCCCTCCCCCCCGCCCCTTTATTAACAGTGTGATGCCTTCCTGCACTTTAAATAGTGACATTCTTATACAGCTATTTTTTTTATAATTTAAGCTTGCTTTTAACACAACCAGCGTTATCATTAGAGAACGTGCATAAATCAGTCATTTGGTACTGGGATCTGCATTACAATTGCTGTTGGAACACTGGCATGCATCAATGATTTTAAATACTGTGTGTTTTAATCACAGTCGTCATCGGCCATGACCTATCCACTTCTGGATGAAGGTCTCCCCAAGTCGTTGACATCTCTCACGATGTTACAAACCATCCAGCTGCATCCCCTATTACACTTTTATGTAGTGTATAAGATTACAAGAAACATTTACACTGAACTAACTACATTTTAGCATGGTACAAGCGGAAGGGACATTGTTTTTGTATTTGAGCAAATCATTGAATGTGGCTGTGGCCATATAAAGTTACTAAAAGGCTTTTAGGCAATACTCAAAGTCAAAGGTGCAGTCCTGAGATTACTTTATCAGGTCAGAAGTGCCTCCACTAGAGAGAGAGCTCTAAAGGGTATTTGACCTACTCTTCCAAACCGCTCGGACAACCTTTCAATATTTCGATTTAAAGCTTTCGTGACTGCAGGGATTCATCTTCTTGGTTCTTTAGGTAAAGTCACGTAGAAGGGAAATAATAAAATAATTATTATGTTATATTTTTTATTATTTCCCTTCTATGTGACTTTACCGAAAGAACCAAGAAGATGAACCTTTCATTATGTGGGAGTACCCATACTTATCCATACTCTACCCTTATACACACGACATGCCAATCGACTCGGCATTACTACGCCAGCTAAAAACGTGTTTTGGGCACATTGAGATTGTCCTTCAGCGTGCTTACAAACTGGCATCGGTCTACTTTGTGTGTGTGTTTTTTTAAATTAACAGATGATCTGGCGGACGAAATGGAAGATGTTGATTTTGCTGATGAGTGCGGTGATGATGAGGAGGACGACGATGATGATGACTACAATGAGTGGGCGAGTGAGGCGGATGATGGTGGAGAAAGTGTTCCTGATGACAGCGAGTTCACGGTCAAGAAGCACAAAGGTATGAGATTTGGGATGAATCCCATCGCCGCATATCACCAGCAGTTTTGAAATATCTTTGCCTAGAGAGTAATAATAATGACATTTGCCTATGATCAAACTGGAACGAGCCTTCATAGTGCTTGGATGGGTGACGATCACGCATTAAACAGGTGTCGTATTCTGCTGTGGGGCTATATTGTCAGAAGAGGGTAGTGCAGCAAAAATCCATTGTTTCGATTTAAAGCTTTCGTGACTGCAGGGATTCATCTTCTTGGTTCTTTCGGTAACGTCACGTAGAATGGAAATAATAAAATAATAAAAATAAAACATAATAAAATAATTCTCACGACGTTTCAGACTCTGTCTCCTCGACAGACCTGTCCACCTGAGGACGGCTGCGTGCGTTGTGGCCGAAACGTCGTGATAATTATTTTATGATGTTTTACTTTTATTATTTTATTATTTCCATTCTACGTGACTTTACCGAAAGAACCAAGAAGATACATCCATTGTTGTATTGTACTTCTATGCCACAATGATACATTCCTTGCCTTTATCACCATACACTTACCATCAGAGTGAAGTGTGGTCAAACATGACCTGGAATTCCAGCAGTGAATTGTACATGTATAATCAAGTCTCACTGATTCTCTTGACGTTTTCAGGAGGGTGCTGCAATGAGATGTTGGGCCACTTCCACCTATTCATTGTAGGACATGTGGAAGGAAACCAGAATATCTGGATGAAACCAATATATTATGGGATAACCTACATCTTTATATAGTACTTTGAGCATCGAGAATAGGTGGTACCTGTCATCTACTTGACAGCCAGATAGTTATATTTTGAAACTCGTGATTAGGTGAGTCATAACATGGGAGAAGTACTTACCACTACAATGTGGATTCATACAGCAGACACATGCACCCACATCTCAAGACAATCTACATTAACCCTGGACATATTGCCTTGTATTGAGTGAGGCTGACAGCCATAAGCACAGTTAAACAAGCTTTGAACAGAGGCTGGAGGTTGATGGCATGAATGGCTGGTGTGGAAGGCAGTTATAGACAATGAGTGCAGAGCAGAGTAGAATGAGCCACCTGTAGAGAATGACAGCTCTGGTGCTGGTGGTGATCCTGGTGGTGGTGTTTGTGCTTTGTGAAGGTGCCGTTTTCTGCATCGCCCTGGACCCCAAGTCGAACGCGCTGGCTGTGACAGGCGGCGAGGACGATCTGGCGTACGTGTGGAGAGTGGGCGACGGAGAAATCCTCTTCCCCTGCACCGGTAACTCTTTCATCCCTGCTCTCACACCACGGGTGTTAAGTGTAAGGTCCCCAAGTGACACTTGTGTAGGGGTAATATATATAGGTAAGCAACCTTGTATAAATAAGACAATCTCCAGTAAAGTATATTTCATATGGTTAAGCAATTGCAAGATCATGAATAGGCAATTATTTCAAATGTGTGCCGAAAATATTACGTAACAAAAAATTAAGCAATTTTAGCAATTAAGTTACAGCATGTGAAATTCGTAAACGATTAATTCTTGTTTTTGTGGGTGAGTTCGTGTAAAAGTGTGTCGTAAACCGTCCACCCGACACAGCCAGTTAACACAAGTGTCATGTGAATTGATTTGTGCCAAATGTCTTCTTGCTTCAGCACACCAATGTGTTGGAGAGTACTCTTACAGCATTTAAGTGGGTACCCAATTATGAATCGTAATATTCTTTGTGAAAGCCTACGTATTAAATTAAAATAGTTAAATGGTAAACGTTGCATGGACATGTAATGATCAGTAAAACGTGCAAAACTAATTTTATTTTAAAAAGTATTTGCAAATCATGCAACATTGACCACTAGGGTTGCCATCTCATGGGTGCAAAATCCAGGACATATCATCATGGTAAGAAGAATATTTCGCAGTACTGGAGGAGAGAACCACATGCAATTGCATTGTCTTGAGTGGCGTATTATTCCACAACTGACAAAAACCAGGACATTAAAAACAGTTCCCACGACTTCCACTTGAAAAATGGACGGTCCTGGGAAAACCAGGACTGGTAACAACCTGAACAACGACGTCCACCCTCCCCCCCCCCGCCTTGATGTAGGCCACAAGGACTCGGTGACGTGCGCAGGATTTAGCCACGACTCCTCCATGGTGGCCACGGGCGACATGAGCGGCCTCATCAAGGTGTGGAGCTCAGCCACGGCGCAGGAGCTCTGGTCTTTCGAGGTGTCCGACCTGGAGGTACGACGCACTCGAGCTGAAGGGAGCCCCGGGTACCCCTGTCCCCTTTGTGCACGTGTGGTGTCGGGACTGGTTGCCCTGCATATGCTGGAGGAGGAGGGCTGTCACACTGCTCTGTGGCTACGTGGGCTAACGTTCACTCGCGTAACATTGACATACATATGTATTCAATCAATTATTTTGTGTATCTGGTGCTCTAACTGTGTGAAAGTCACGTGTAAAAAAGCATTCGCCTAAATATATGTCCACGTGTCTTGGCCTGTCTGTGTAAACATGTTGTGCCAACAGCAGAGGCAGCTGGTGCTGCAGCCTTTTTAAATCCGCTCTTCTGTAGTTTCACTTGCAGCTCATAGATGGATGGTTTGTTGCATGGCAAGACCCTAGGAGATGGCGGAGTAAAAGAGACACCATTTTGCATTGCAATGATGATTATTATGACCCGTTCTGATGATGTGTCTTATTATGATGCACTTCTTACTTGAAACCAGAGATTCCTGCTCTCTTCTTACCTGGTCCGATAAAGGAATTATATTTGATGAAGTGGTTGTTCTTGTCCTCTCAGTGGATTGAGTGGCATCACAAGGCGCCTGTGCTGCTGGCTGGTACCAACTCGGGAGAAGTGTGGATGTGGAAGATTCCTGCCGGTGACTGCAGGACCTTCCAAGGCCCTGGCTGTCAGAGCATGTGTGGGAAAATCTTCCCAGATGGTGAGTTCCACCAGAGAAAATAATACACCATTATTTTACGTAATTTTCCATCAATTGTATGCTTGTTGTGCTTTCAGTGTCATGTCACGAGACAAAGTATCCATTTGGATCTCTCTCAGAGCAGTACACAACCCTTTGTGTCCGAGAAAGAGCACAGAAGCAGATATGACAGTGATACCTCTGAGATATTTTCAAGCGACCTCTCGTGCACACGATAGGGGCAACAATTTGCCATCAGTCTTGTCACGGGAGAGTAACGTTCGTCGCTTGAAAAAACAATTCTTTTTAAATGATCAAAACTGAGTATGTCGCCAAATTTAAGTGCGAAGCAAAATTTAATTCGATGGTATTTTTTACAGTCATTAGCGACCGGATTGAAACCATCAACTCAATACACTTGAGAACCCAGTTTAATCACGGGCGCCCGAAATTCAAATTCGAGTCCAGCATCTCGGCGATGCCAACTCGGCACTCTGACTTGTCTTTATAAAGCGCCTTTCACCAAAGCTGTCTAACCGCCTCGTGGCTTGCTTTGCTGTAATGCTCGCTCACGACAAATAATAGCCCCTTGCTGTCGCAATTGGCCCGAGCTAAATGGAGGGACGTGTTTTGTTGGCACGCAGGTAAAGGAGCCGTTGTGGGCTACGAGGATGGGACGGTGAGGATATGGGACTTGAAGCAGTCGACGCCCGTGTTCACTTTCAAAGGTGGGTACTGTCGATGCATTTGCCCTCTGTGGGTGGTTGTGCTGGGCTGGCCATGACGGCAGGCTGTGGGAGTTTGTGGATCGTGCTGCAGGCATCGTGAAGATACCCCAATGCAGTTCTAAGAGGTGACCAGTAGATGGAAGTGCTTATTTGCAGAATGCAGATGAATCGATGGGTACCTTAGGCTGGTTTTTTTCCCACCACTTTTACATTACATAGATTGTATTTTAAAAAGATTATCATGCTCGCAAATCAAGTATTGCATAATCTGTCTAAAAATGTATTCACAGTTTATGTAAATAACTTGCAAAGTTATGCTAATGATACATTTAGGCTACAAGTAACAAAAAAACTGGACTAACCACACCAAAAAAAAGACCATCGTAGAAGAAATGGATAAATTAGGTGGCAGTTCATCACGTTTCTCCGGGTGGCTAATTATTAGATGCAATATTTTTTACATAATTGTGTTTTTCTCCAGGTGCTCCAGTTTTCTTCCACACGTGCATATAAATACTGACCCCTGCGCGTGCAGATTTTTGCCGATCTCTCCGTAAATCCTCCTTGTTCCGCCGCAGGCAAGGATGGGCACCAGGGCTCGGTGACGTGTTTGGCGGTGCACGACGACGGAACGTTGGTGCTGACCGGATCCGTGGACCGCACGGCAAGTCTGCTCAATGCCGCCACCGGCAAGGCAAGTCATCCGTCGCTTCCGTTTTATGCCCGCGCTCTGCTCGTAAAGCCAGCCCCCCCCCACCCCTGGAATATCGGGACGCAAGCGGGCGTCGGACAGCGACGCATGTCTTTTGCTAGCTGCGCCAGCCAGAAGGAGTTCTTCCAGAGCCGCCAGGATCAGCGTTGGTTGTGCCACAGCACCTCTCAAGATGAATCGGCGCGTTCCTGCTCGGCTTCCAAGTTCTGACGATATCAGGTGTATGCCAGGTCATTTGTTCCTAGTATGTACATATTTATCTTGAACTTCATCCACACCGTACGTAGCCAACCGTGTTAATCAGAGGTGCGGTGGTCCCAGTAGCGGTGGTCCTCGTTTATGCACCGTCATGTTTATTTAGCGCTTATCACACCGCCGGTTAGCATGGTTGGCTACATACAGTGCGAAAGACATTGGACCTGCACACATTGGATGGCTCTGGGTGATTGATCGTCACCGCTCTGTGCCCAGGTCCTGCACGTGTTCACGTTGGATGCCAAGGTGGGCATGGGCAGCGGTGCTGGCGCTGCCGTTGAAGACGAGGAGGAGGCGGGGAGCTCCAACTCTGTGGAGTCGGTGGGCTTCTGCAAAGTGTACGTCAATCTCATGCTTGTAATCCGCTCATCATTCGTCAGATTACATGTAAAAAAAAAAAGCTGGGAAGCCATTTCGCTACCAGGAAGCTCAGTCTGCTTCGGGCATTCGACTTGCGCGAAGAGATTTGCGCGTATAAACTCGCAAACGTGCAAACGGATACGGTCGGTGTGTTTGGCGTGCGAGTTCACACCCACTTATTGCCCACGTGACCGTGATATTTTATGCACGCAAGTTGCTCTGGCGTGCAGCCTAGCATTTTTTGTTGAAATGTGTTTTTTAAAGTATTGAATTTACAATATCAGGGGGTGGGGGGGGGACTCATGCAAATCTGTGCCATGAGGTTGGGAAGGTGTGCCTTGTAAAGTTTGGAATTACTTGGTTTCGGAGTTGTATTTGTTGTTTAAATGGAATATATATATGGATATAAAATTGCTCAGGCAATGCATTCGGTAGCCTTTTGCCTCCTTTCAAAAATGTAATCGATGGAATTAATTTATCTTGAAAATCTGGCGGACAGGCACCCTCTCATCGCTGTGGGGTACTTGGATGGAACTCTGGTCATCTGGGACGTCCCGTCACAGACGCTGCGCCACAGGTTGCAGGAAGGGGTGAGTCCTGGGTTTAAAAACTATAACCCACTCGCGGGTCTTAAACAATCGACTTGCAACGCAGAGTGAACGTGTTGAGTACGGTCTTTAAAATATACACTGGCAAACGTGTTTTTATCGTGGGATCTTATGTAGATATTCTCCACAGTGATGCCAATAACTATGTTGAGTTATGTTTTATATAAGTTTGCAACGAACGAGGACCCCATAGCGCAAATAGAAGGTCCTTGCCTTGAACATTGGTAGTTCACCAGCATTAAACCTTCATGTCCCTGCACGTGGTCCCCAACTGGGTGGGGCAGTGAGCCCAGTTCCCCCCCCCCCACTGGGCCCTATCGCGTCCACCCTGGCTGCTGTTTGCGGAATTTCTATTCACTCCCCCCCCACCCCTTCGGTGACCGGTGCCTTGTATCCAGAGGTCGCAAACGGGTTTTGATTCCTTACCCGTACCCGTATCCGGCCGCACCAGGGTCGCAAATGGGTACCCGGACCTGGCCGGGTACGGGTAGCCGGGTATCTGTAAGGGTACGGGTATCGGGTACCCAGTTGCGACATCTGCTTGTATTATGCTTGTATTGGGGTGTAATAAGAAAAAACAAACGGCACTTGTCCCAACAGTCTGTTAAGGATATCGGGGGCGGGGGGGGATCACTGTTGTTGTTTGCGTGCATGAGCAGGTGGGCGTGGTGAAGCTGCAGTGGGACCTGTCTTCGGCAACGCTCTTCGTCTGCAGCCTGGACGGCCGCGTGCGTCTCTACGACGGGCGCAGCGGTGCCTCGGCCGGGCTCCTGCAGGGACACCGCGGGGAGGTGCTCGACTTTGCGCTCAGCAGGTGAGGATGGCGGTGGTGGCGGGTGGTGGTGGTGTGTGGAGAACTGGGCTGCAGTGGGACTCGAACGGTCCGTTCAAAGCACTGAGCCAGCCGAGTGCCGCTCTGTAACAGACTCGCGGTTTATCAGTTGATTTATTCACGTGGATAACTTTTGGCAAATAGAATTTGGTAATCCAGTAGTATTTTTTGTTAACAAGCCCATCTCTGTTGACGACACCCAGAAGGTCCGAACTGATGCAGAGTTTGCTCGCTTAAACAGATGCTGCTTGATATTTATTGGTCTTGACAGCAATTAGGCTGGTGGACTATAACCCCTGCAGAACAGGGGGAGAACATACATACTCCACACAGAAAGGGCACCCGAGTCAAGATTGGAACCTCGAGCTTCTTGTTGTGTGGCGCAAGTGTTACCACCGTGTGCCACCCATCAATCCATCCCTCGGTTCGTCTTTTGCGGCAGGGACTCGTCAATGCTCGTGACGGCGTCTGGGGACCACACCGCCAAAGTCTTCCACCTGCAGAAGCCGGACCGCTAACGGGACCGTTGGGGAACGCCCAATCTTGCCGCGGTGAAAATTCTCTCGTCCGTGACCTTGGCAGCATGAGTGGACTTTTGGGGGGACAAGAGCCACCACCCCTCTTCAGCGCTTCATTGGCGTGATCCAAGCATCGCGGCAGCTTCACGGGGGTTTACGCACAGCCAGGCTGCCCGGATGCCGCACCCCGCTGCGTCTTTCACGATGAACGGACCCTGGCGTGGAGTTTGAGTGCCGGTGGTAAATATATTCTGCACCCGTTGGCATCGAGAAGATTAAATTGCGTGACCTCTCGTCTCGTACGAAGAGACGAGGGGATCCCATCTTCATCTACCTTTCTCGTCCTTAAAAGTCCCTCTCATTCATCAGGAAAGCCTTAAAGTACTTTTTCTATCAATTATTTGACTTGCGTAATGATAATAAAAATTCCTTCAAATCTGCAGTCACAAATGAAAGAGCATGATTGAACAATATCGGTAGAGGTACAAACTGGAGCTGTCCAATCTCTGGCCCGTGGGTCACATAGGTCCCGCTAATTTGCTTAGCCTGGCCTGTCACATCACTGGAATTGCAATAAAAAATGGCCCTCAGCTGCTGTGAGTTCAAGTTAACCATCTTGCTCGTCGTGTTGTCTTTGGAGCCACATGATGTGCGGGAGTGGGGGTCGGTTGGGGTTGGGGTTGGGGCCTTGTGAGTTAAAATTGGGCACAGCCTGGGTACCGTATACACCCTTCCATGGTTCCCTCTCTCTCCAAGCTCGCCCTCATATAGCCTCTTCGCAATACATCCCCAAAAACTCGGTTGCATCTTTATAAATGCATCTCAACCTTCGTCTCTTCTGAATCGTATGTCTTCTATCGAAATGTTCTCTTTGCAGTATCTCCCAACGTCTTGTATGAATGCATCTTGTGTCTTGTCGTACCACCGATTTAGCATGGATGGCTACGGACGGTGCGAAACAGGTTCAACATACATATCTCATCTGACTGCCTCTCTTCTCTCGGTGTTACTCTCCTATCACTTCCATAATTATCTCTTGTACCTCTTAGAAATGCCCACGAACCATGACTTTCTAGCATGTTCACCAATCTGGTCCTTAAAGCAAGAAATCCGGACGAACCTGTCCCCAAATCGGTGGCAAAAGAACCCCGCTGAACCTGTAACTTTGGTTTTCAGTATTTTAGGTTTCTGACGCGAGCCCGACTTAAGTTCCTATGAATAGCGGGTCCAAGTGGATTCATGACATGAACCGCTGTGGTCAGTGGAATGCTTCACCTGTGCCACAAATAGGATATGTTGAACCATCCACACTGCAGTGGTAATCTTCGACGCCCAAGTTCCAGGAATTGAATTCCACACTTTACAGGTAAAATGCCGACTGCTGATGAGAATGCGATCCCAGATCCTTTTACAGGGGTAATATATATAAAAAAATATAAATATAAAATATAAATTAAAATTTATAGATCCAATTCATGTTTTGGCAGATCGTGTGCACTGATATTTTGGTGGTAGCTTTTGCTTCCATTGATTTTTGCCATGTTCCTTCACCAGTTATCGCTAGAAAATCGGCTTCCGTCCACTACACGCATCACGCCCCAAGTATCCGCATAGGGCATCTATGACCACATAGCATGGAATGCACCCGATCTCGACAGACCCCGGAAGCAAAGTTGTTTTGAGCCAGGATAGTGCTTGGATGTGCGACCATCATGCACACTGCGTTGGGCAGCAGAGGGCAGTAAAGCAAAGTCCATGGTGTACCACGGCTATCGTCTATGCTGCCCCGCCCGCCTTCACCATCCCGCACTGACTAGCGTGAAGTATGGTCACATGACCCCCCCCACCCACCATGACCTGCACAGCGTGGGGGGGCCCTCATCCAGTCGTGGATTGACAAACGGCACGGTGAAGGTGCCAGCCACCACAGCTCTGCAGGTGCGGTGTGGTGGTATCGCCTTACCTGCGGTGTCCTTTAGTTGCTTCTGTTCCTATTAAGGTCATTGTTACGTCACTTTGTGAGTGTAAATTAATTTGGCCATGCCTTGAATTATAATTTTTAAAAGACCACAAAATGCGTTTGTTAAATTCAGACTTGCATAAAATACGTCGTCAGAAAAATGAAGACCTTTGATAAGTTTGAGATAGCAATAATAGCCAGATGTAAGAAATAATAAGCAAACTGTCTCTTGCACCTCTGTCTCGCATAAAACATCAAAGTAATACATAATCTGTCAGCCGCTTGGCATTTTGGGAGTGTGTAACTTCAGCATTGATTCGATTCAAGCAGTTTCAAAGTTGCTGAGATTATCCACTTCCAGAAGACCGTGTGGCTGAAGGGTTTTGTAAGAAATACTTCAGATTTTTTTTATGTAGAAAGACCGATACACGAAGTAGACATTGTCTGCTTATTTGTTTGTTATTTATATTCTCCACAACCGGAGCTAACAATTATTTTGAGACGTAATTACTTTATTTGGTCAAATCATTTTTACTAGGACGCGTAAAAACACGCTGTGAATCTCGAATGTGTTACGGCAAACAAAAGAATATAACGAAATGTTCCGAAATAAAAATGAAATTTTACGATGATGGATCGTCATTTATTTATTTTGTTTTTCACATTGTATCTTTTCACATTGCATCTGTTAACTCATAAACACACCACACTATTAATTATATGCCTCTCATGAAACACCAGCATTTAGCTTTCATCAGTTTGCAGTCGAAGTCACAGTCGGATGTTAACACTATAATGAAGTAACATTAATTTTTCTGATGTGATTACAAACAGTGATTACAAAGCATTATTTTCCGAAGCAAATATATGTTTCGGTCAATTAGCTATTAGGCTTTAAAGACCAATATCAAGCAGCATTTGTTTAAGCAACCAAGCTGTATCATTGATCTGGAATGCCAATAGGCTGATGGACTAAAATATAAATGTGCCAGCACCGACTTATGCTTTTACCCTTAATTCTCCACAGCAATGCATAATGGCTTTTATGTACGCTACTGACTTTGAGGTTGGTTGAAGTGTATATATTTGCCAACATGTACCGATTGTTCCATGAATAGCAGTGCATGGTAGGATACTGGGATGTTCTATGTTGAGTAAAAATATTTTAACACCTTAAGTTGTAACAACTAGTTAATATTCCAGAAGTAACCCTCATTGCAAAACAATATCAATGACCTCCAGCCTCATACTAGCTGCCTACAATTGCCTAAAAAACGTTTACTAGATAAAACAACCACCACCAATTAAATTGGCCAGATGCAGTGATCATTAACAGGATATTGGCCCTTATTCCCAGTGGCCCACAGCAGAGGTCGCAAACGGGTTTTGATTCCTTACCCGTACCCGTACCCGGCCGCGCCAGGGTCGCAAACGGGTACCCGTACCCTACCCGATACCCGGCTACCCGTACCCGGCCGGGTACGGGTAGGGTACGGGTATCGGGTACCCGATTGCGACCTCTGGCCCACAGTGGGCCACTTTCACCAGTTTGATTCGAAAACGTCGTAAAATGAAGTTCCCATTGGGAACTTTTGCAGAGCAGTGCATCCCCCCCCCCGCCGCCCCCCGTGTAGGAGAATTGGCCCTCGGAAGCAGATGTCGCAGAAATTCTTCTGAGATCCCTTCCCGTTGTATCTTTAAGCCACGCACTAAGGGGGGCAGTGCATTCCCACATGGCCCTGCGCTAAAAATGTTCACGTCTCAGTCAAACCAACAAAAAAACAATCGTCTGAATTGGAACTTTTGCCACATTAATTGATAAACAAACTCGACGGGATGGTGTTGTAACATACATTTATCTTAGCAGTTATTGGTGACTGTACCAAAACCGTAAATTTGCTAGACCTTAAAACCCGGTTTAATCACGAGTGAACGAAACCCAGACGCAGACCCCGGATCTCGGAGGTGATTGCCCAATTGCTCTGCAGACCGTTGAGCTGCCCGGCCTCCCCTTGCTGATCTTGAGCGGTCACCGCTACTAGCTGTCGCTGCTGGTCAGCACCACGTCCTGTGTCTCCGAGCTCTCCGACACCACGCGGCCGTCTATGATCTCCTGCGTCACCACCTTCACCATCTTCTTGGTTATCTTGCTCGGTTTCTCTGCCAAGTACACACACAGAGTTTGTTGAACGTTTCCCTGTTCGTAGCGTGATTTGCAGTTCGGCTTCGTGAAGACACGGGAAGACTTAAGACTAGAATGCACGAGGGATAGGTTTGTGCTTTGAAGTGCGTATCCTTGCGCTATCGGTATTAAGCGGTAGGATTGCAGCTCAACCGATTTTTGAAAGAAAATGTATTCTTATTTAAGCGTGTAACTACATATCGATTCGCCAATTTAAAACTGAGTTTAAAGCTCATGATGCACGCATTGAAAGTGTGAATCTAATTCTGACCTCGTGTCTTGACGATTCACCAAATCGTGAGCAGGGGGCGAACCGTTGATTCACTACTCGAAATGGGTAGGGGAGCGCAGGTGATGGATTTACCAGGCAATTGATAACACTGGAGTCTGTATGCGTGTATGTATGATGAACTTCTTTCGCACCGTACGAAGCCAACTGTGCTAAGCGGAGGGTCCGTGGTGACCTCGTCGCTTTTGAACTAAGCCTGGCACAGATGTAGTAGCGGTGTTATATCAGCCGGCGCTTGAGTGTTGAATCATGCGCGGGTGTTGTGTGTGCGTTGTGCGTGCGTGCGTCTTACGCTTTTCATCCTTTGTCACCCTGTAACGACACAACGGGCAGTGTTAGTGGCACTCGCGATTTGCCGTTTGTTGCAGCTTGGGAATTTTTTAAGAAAAAAAAGTTTGTGGTGCATCGCCCAATTTACGTTAAGAGTCTCATTAAAATTGGCATCTGCGTTGTGTTTATTGACTGAAATAATACAACGGGTTGATTAACAAACACCAGGATTTTTTTTTTACTCTTAACTGAGCGCAGAGGGAGAGGTCAAGGATTTGTCTGACATCTCCAGGAATCTCTTCCTGGTGTTGTAAAGTGCGTGAGAGGTGGTGGCAGCTTGGGGGCAGGCCTTCATCCAGCAGTGGATTGACCACGGCTGCTGGGGGTGATGATGAAGATGATGTGAGATATTCTAATTCCTGAGGTACGTGCCGGTGTTGGTGCACCTCCGGAGGTGGCAACCCTAAAGCGTTCATCTTCTTGGTTCTTTCGGTAAAGTCACGTAGAAGGAAAATAATAAAATAATAAAAATAAAACAATAAAATACAATTCTCACGACGTTTCGGCCACAACGCAAGCAGCCGTCCTCAGGTGAAGAACAGGTCTGTCGGAAAGACAGCGTTTGAATGAACACCACCAAGCTTGGCAGCGTATATTTAAGCTGGGTTAGGGGAGGAAGGGCGCCTTGAGGACGGCTGCTTGCGTTGTAGTATTTTATTATGTTTTATTTTTATTATTTTATTATTTCCCTTCTACGTGACTTTACCGAAAGAACCAAGAAGATGAATCCCTGCAGTCAGGAAAGCTTTAAATCGAAATTTAACCGCCACTACGGGGTGGGATTCCATAAAACTTTAAGATCCTTCAACAAGCTCCGGGATAAGAAGGCTCAGCTAATCGAGTCTCTCACCTTTCTGAAGAGATGCCGTGACTCTAAGGTAATACCAATCGCATTTACACTAACCTCTGCTGATGCAATTTTTTTTGTCAAGGCGCTCTTCCCCCCTCCAACCCAGCTTAAATATACGCTGCCAAGCTTGGTGGTGTTTCATTCAGACGCTGTCTTCCCGACAGACCTGTTCTTCACCTGAGGACGGATGCTTGCGTTGTGGCCGAAACGTCATAAGAATTATTTGATGATGTTTTATTTTTATTATTTTATTATTTCCCTTCTACGTGACTTTACCGAAAGAACCAAGAAGATGAATCCCTGCAGTCACGAAAGCTTTAAATCGAAACCTGCGTCACCGAACGCACCGGACGGTCGTCTGCTCCTCGCAGTGGCTGTGCTGGCCCTCCAGCAGGCGCCTGTACGTCTCGATCTCCTCCTCGAGGCGCATCTTCGTGTTGAGCAGAGCCTCGTGCTCGCGCAGCTGCCGGTCGATGTCGCCGCGCGCCGAACCCAGCTCGGAGAGCAGGCGGGAGATTGACCCCGCCAGGCCTGCCAGACCCTCTGCGCTGTGCGCCTCCACGTCCTGGGCTGCCTCGTTCAGCGATGACACCTGATGCGAGTCGGGTGGTGGGGGGAAGGAGGTGGGCAGGAGAGAGGGGTGAGCGCCAGGACTGGTGAAATGCACGAGTGAAAAAAAAATTGTTTTGGGAAATTTATTTTGATGACGATTTTTACTTGAATGGGAGATGGACTCATTACTTGGTCGACACGAATGTTCTGCTAATTGGCATCACCATCAGCCGTGATCTGTCCACTGCTGGATGAAGGCGTCCCCAGTACCATATTTGTCACTGGATTTGTATGTAGAGGGAACGAGAAAATAAAGAAGGCACAGAACGACACGGACAGACTTCGTCAGAGAGATGTAGAAGTAAAAGACTGGAATGATCCGAAGCGATGAGACCAAATCAAGACGGGAGACAGTGGAAGACGTGGAAGGAGTTGCTGTTTATTGGAAGGAATTTAAAATGATGAGACGAAACAAAAATTACTGTTATTGACTGTCAACAACATGTTTATTGTATGAAGTGTATTTTAGCATAGTCTCATTGTTTACGGCTGTGGGTGGCAATGGATACAGCATGCATCGCATGCTTTCAGATGCAGTGCGCTTCTGCGGACGTCTGGAACGCTCTTCCTTCCGGTATAAGGAAGCCACTGGAGCTGTGGTTGTTGTGTTTAGTTTGTTGTCCTTCCCCACACCTCCGATTAGCACGGTTGGTTACGTACGGTGTGAAAGAAGTTCAACGTACCTACGTGCAGCATTCACGCTGCTCCCCTCCTCAATACGCGCCTACCCCCAACATGGGAAAGCTCACGATCAGCGCAGCGAAGTCTGTGAGCCCTCCGAAATGCCGGTCTCAACCGCACACGTTTTGACTGAATGGAGAGGAGGAAGAGGATGTTTGTGGATGCTCACCGTGCAGCGCAGGGTTTCCGCCTCGGCGTACAGGGCCTGCATCGCGCGACGCTGCTCCGACAGCTGCTGCCTGAGGGTGCCCAGCTCCTCCGAGTTCTGCGAGATGCGCGGGTGAATCTCGTCGACCTGCGCGGGTGAGCGGGGAGGCAGAGGAAGAACAGGGTCACCGCCTCTCATCCCCCTGCTACTCCCGCCGCCGTCTCCCCCGCTGTCACCGGCGACGTTGTTTGAGAGTCGGGGGTTAAAGACGGAGGTGGACGTGTGGCTCAGAAGTTGGGGGTTACAGTGCCGAGCTGGTACCGATGAGAATCTGGGTTTAGAATCGGGGTCTCGGTCTGCCTGCCCACGTTTAAACCTTCCCTCGCACCTCTAATTAGCACGGTTGGCTACGTACGGTGCGAAAGAAGTTAAACGTACGTACAAACCAGGTTCTCAAGTGTAGTGAATTGATTGTATCTGTGGGTCTCCAATGTGAGTCTATGACTTGACTAATTGAGACTTCTGTGAAGTGTGATCCGTGTTGTCTACTGTAGGTCTCTGAGTCTGTGGATTTCTGTATGAGTCTATCCGTCTCTTTGTTAATTTGTGGCTTTCTACACGAGTCTATGGGTCTCAATGTGAGGATATAGGTCTCTATGAGTATTTTGGCCTCTATGCGAGTTTGTGGGTCTCAACACGAGTCAGCAAGTCTATGTGGTGAAGGGCAACCCATCACTGACATCACTGATGATTGCCCAAACGGCTGAGGCATGCCCCAGCGGTAGCACGCTCGGCACTTGTTGCAGAGGATCACGGTTTAAATCCAGCGGCCACCCTGATTAATATTGCCGGTGTACAAATATGAAGATACGCGCTGTCTGCTTCAAAGTGGACATTAAAGATTCCCCTGATATTATTAGCAAAAGATGGCTTTTTGAGTGCCGGTGTCATGGTGTAAAATTTTGCCAAAACTGACATATTGATCTATTATTCATAGCCACCATCGCCCACAACTGAAACCTTGGCAGGATTCTCCTGCAAACAAGTCATGAGACTCGGTGAGGCTTTACTGGGTAAAAATGTGCTATGTAGAAGGGCCGCTAACCGAAACGTCGCCGTTTATAAACTCTTCCTTTTAAGGCACAACTTTAATGTATGCATGCATGCTGAACTTCTTTCACACCGTACATAGCCAACCATGCATATTCGAAGTGCGGGGGATGGACAACAAAACATGACGAATGTGTAGAGTTTGTTGTTGTTTGTGCTCGTGCACCACTGCCGATGCAGTGTCACCAAAACAGTTGTTACGACGCAAAAAAACAAAAAATGGCTCCACAACCTCAACGCACACGGAGACTCAAACGCGTCCGTTCCTTGTCAAGCGCCAGAGGAAAGAAGGATGCCCCTGCGAGTACCTTGCTCTTGTGCCAGACCTCCATCTCCTGCAGGTTACTCTTGATGAGCGCCTCGTACTGAGCCCTGATCTCGGCGATGATGTCGTTGAGGTTGTGGCCCTTGACGCTGTCCACCTCCACCGAGATGCTCGACTCTTCGATCTCCTTGAGCAGGGAACTCTTCTCCTGTGGACGTCACCGTCACAGCCAGTGTCAGATTATCCTCCGTAGCAAAAGTTGCAAATGCTACGGGCCCCGTACTTTCAAGGGCCCCGCTCTAAATGCTTTCAAGCTATCAATTCCGGTTCGGTCATTCTGCACTTGCTCTATTACTGTAGTACTATACCGCCTTCAACTTTTATGAACGACTGGGTGTTTAAGGTTAGCGATTTGTCGTATTATCTGGCTGTAAAGAAAATGAAAAAATACAATTACTTTACTGTGCAAGTAAAAAATTTGTGTTTTCATATTTATATGTGTTTTTTTTTTCTTTAGGGACATGTTATAACATATGTTACAGGCCCCGCACTACTTAATCCGGCACTGGTCACAGCATGAGCCCCTCCACCCCCCGCCACGAGGGGATGTAGTCACACTTTGGAAGTGGGCGTGAGTGGGGAGGGGATCATATTCGCAAAATGATATTTTTAATTGGTGAGATTACGGATGCACATTGAACCCTGCACAGTGCGAGAGAGTCGTGTGACATGCACGCCTATAACGCATCGGCACATCGTCGTAATAATAATAATATGTATTTGTCCTGCGCCATATTTCAGAGACGGCGTCACGATGCTGAGTCCTGTGGCAGTGCTCGATCGTCGAGGCGCTGGTTGTGAACAGGTCACCCACCACCCTGAGCGTGGCTGTTTCTGTAGAATGCTCTGAACGATGTGCGGAATGGAACGGTGCAAACATTTGCCCCGAGGCTCGATGTGGTGGCCGAGTGGAGAGAGAGAGAGTGCTAGGCATTCCAAGATTTTGCTGATATTAGATATTGCTCGGTAACTGGAGGTATCGTCACGATTAAGGTTCGGTTTAATAAAAAAAGCGTAACCAGACACGTGTTTTAAGGTTGGATCATTTGCATGCAACGCGCGCACGTGCCCCCAGGCTGGGAAAGCGTTCCTGTACGCAGGCCGCACGCGTTCCACAGGTAACGCGTGAAATTATTACCGCGTGACCGGATTACTTCACGGATGAAATAATACATGCAGCAATGGATCCATAGATTCGAGGAAGAATGTGTCAATGTGTCAATGATTTAATACGTACCCGAATGGACGAATTAATAAATGAATGCAAACATGGACACATTGATCGATGTAAGAGTGAATACAAAACTGCATGAATTAATGGATTGATAAAACTACCCATGTCTGAATTAGTGCATTCAGATTGTGTGTGGGTGCCTCTTGGCGACATTCAACAATGTCGAGGATTTTATTTTTTTTCGGGCCGTGCCACAAATTGGCTGCTTCCAATGCCCTCCCCTTTCCGCCACGCTGCCAAACGCTCGGCAAACAACGACGGCGGTTTTAAAAGAAAAAAATAAAAACAAATGGCTCGCGTAAACAACGCACGGATAAATGGCTTTCGCTGCAAAAAATTAAATATTAAAATTATAATTTGCGCTCGTGTGTACAGACACGTGTACGCGCGTACGTCTCATCGGCAAAGCGAGGAGAGCCCCAAAAAAAACTCTTCAAAAAAAAACTGAAGGGAGAAAGAAAAAGTCTCATAAAAATGGAAATTGGAAAAGTTTCGCTCATCCGTGCAAGTGAGGAGAAGTCAACCAGACTTTTGGCTGTGGCCTCTCAAAGAGGATTAACGCCTTCCAGGGTTTACGTCTGGTTTAGTTTTTTTATTTGTAGGTGAGCTCCTGTGACAGATGGGAGCCACGAACGTGTGAAATCTTGCAGCGGTGTCCATGATGGGGTGCCCGATTGTCGTGATGGGGAAAAAAAGACCAATCTTTTCTTTCAGCCAATTTTACTTTTGACCCAAAAATACCCAAAAAAAAAAACCCGGTGCCGATGCCTCCATCGCCAGCAGTGCGGTACAATTCTACGAGGCGATGGACCCAAATTGCGGGCGTGCTCGATTGCTAAGCATTGCGTTTTTTTTAATGAACTTTTTTCGCACCGGTACGTAGACAACCGTGCTAATCGGAGGTGCTGAAAGGTTTAAACATGGGCAGGAAGCCGAGCCCCAGATTCGAACCCAGATGCTCATGGTGGGAAGTAACGTGCAGACGTGCAGACGCGCAGCAGCGATGCACACGAGTCTCTGTGTGTGTTGGATAACGAGTTGGCTGTTGGAGGCAGTACAGAAAGCAGGTTTACAACAAAAAAACATTGCATATAAAAACTGCCGGGGTTAAAATAAAAACAAAGCCTTAAGAGACTGTCAGGCTTTCCTTTGTTGGGTCTGTTGTTGCACCTCATAAAAAACGTAAATAATAATACAATTAATTCGAAAACGTGTCGTGTTATTGCGGTATATGCCACCGTTATGTGTACAGGGTGGTCCATATGTCTTGTGAACTCCCCCCCCCCCCCGTTGTTATCTCTAAAACGTAATAATTTCCGTTAAATTTTGATTTAAAGCTTTCGTGACTGCAGGGATTCATATTATTGGTTTTTTCGGTAAAGTCACGTAGAAGGGAAACAATAAAATTCTTGCTGTGGATTTCACACCTGATGATTGCTTGTGTTGCAGTCGAAACGTCGTGAGAATTTTATTGTTTTATGTTTGTATTATTTTATTGTTTCCCTTCTACGTGATTTTACCGAAAGAACCAATAATATAATTTCCATTAAGTAAGGTTTATTTAAGACAGAAATGAATATGCAAAGGAACAAAAAAAACATGTTAGGAGTCAGATAATTGTTTTTTTACCCTTTTATCTGGCAACAAAACTGACACCTTTTTTTTACAAGGAGTCATGTTTGCATAGATCACAATACCTGCAGTCATAATGCAAACAAAAAACATAACTCTGACAATGTATGCACTGTCCTTGAAGTTGATTGGCCCACACCCGAGACAGCTTTCCTTAGAGCCTAGTCTCACATGGTGTTGGACCAATTATCATATTTTCTACTGGCGTATGAGGTTCCAATGATGTTAGGAGTCAATTAATTTAGGGTCACAAGACATCTGGGACCACCCTGTACAACAACGACATTGTATGTAGAGACCCGAGCTGGATTCTCCACCACAGCTAACATCAGCGGTGAGTGGCATCTGAAGCTGCTCTCTACCTCCCTGTCCCTTCCTTATTTAACAACCGGCGCTCGCCGATCGGTGAAGTATGGTCGAACAGCCCCCGTGAAGAACCTGGCCGGTGGGGGAGCTTCATGCAGCGGTGGATAGACCATGTCTGATGATGCTGGCGACGTTTGTTCTTCACACGTCTGCATGGCGCCTTCTTTACGCGTTATCGTAGCTGTGTGACTGTGTTGTAGTTATTATTATTATTCCTCGCCTTCTAGCCCATCCAAGGACGGGTGTATTACAGTAAATCTGAAATATTCAATCGAACTTAATGCTCCGCTCGCGATTATTAATGGCAGCGTTACGGAGGTAGGGTCACATCAGTGTTCTCGCTCGTTATATGTTAAGACTATTCCGCATAGCCAGGAAAGCCTCACTCAGTGTCTCGACTTCATTATCATGAGGGTCCTGTCAAGTTTGTTTTCCCAGCAGGGGGCGATTATTGCTCTAGGTACGTGTATGTTCCAAAAGAGAAAACTATACGCATGTTTCATGTCCGTAAATTATATGTACGTCTCATGTCTGCATGTACTTGTATATCTGCACGTACCGTGTCTGCATGTATAATACACGTGTGTATACTGTCTGTGTAGGCATCGTGTGTGTGTGGCTGGCTAACAGCACTTGCTCTGGCAGTCTATTCAAGGCTATACGGGGATCTTTGCATTTGCAATTGCTCACGTCCGCATGGCTCTTCTGCATGTGCAGGAGCTGCTCCTCGAGCAGTTCCACCTGTCCCTCCAGGCTCATGCGCGTCACGTTGGTCTCGTCGATGGCGCGTCGCAGGTTCGTGATGTCCGACTCCACCGAGGTGTGGATGCAAACCTCCGACTCCAACCTGTGGAGGACGGGCGACAGCACATCCACTCACCGCCAGCGACACTCGAAGCACCAACCGCCTCTAGCAGCGGCACCACCACCACTATCAGCGCCGTCGCGAACTAATAGCAAAGACAAAGATCGCCTGTATAGCCTGAACAAACTTTTGGGGAAAGTGCTGTTCGCGAGCACCTATGAAGCACGGTACGGTAGACGAGGGGGTGGCTGGCCAACACCACGGCCGACCACCTTTGTCTCCCCAGTGGCGATGTTTACACACTGCAGTAGGTACTTATTTGAGACTGAGTCGACCTCGGGGAGGTCTGGGTTCGTAGGGCAGCGCGCTAACCACTGCACCACCGCTCCCCATCACAAAGACCATCACTATCACCAGCACAATCGCCACTCAACTTATCTCGACTACCAACACCGCGGTCACTCGCTATCTCAGTCACCACCTCTAAACTGTCAATCATCACCACTTCAATCGCCAACTCCAGATGGGTCTGGATGTGAAACGTTGAAGCCACTGACACCGATCTGCGGTAATGTTACACGTGGGGGTTGTAGCCAGCAGATGGCGCTCTCCTATCAGCAATCAGAAATAGCCGCTCCCTACCAGAGTAGAACAACGTTCTGGATCTTTCTTGGCAAGCGGTGGGCAATAAATAACTACAGGATATGAGGTTATAATTAAATTTAGACCCAGTGATTAAAGGTTTGCTGCTGCAAATAGAGATCTGCCGGGTTAACTTTCACAGACTCGGCACGGTTGGGACGCAAGGGAGAATCGCATGGCGGTGAATTTTGCGCCTACGCGAAATACATCTCGACATGAAACCTCAAGACACGGAGAAAGCCATTGCGATAAACGTCTCCGTTGTCGAGGAGAGACCCGCGCAGAAGGCAAAAACAAAGCGCCTCAAGACTTCGGAGAGATTAAACTCTTGTACGCACAGAAGAACACAAGTTCCAAAATTAGAGAAACGTTCACAGTACGTATTGTGCTTGTTTTCTGGACAATGTTTGAAAACACGCGGGGGCCTGTTGTTGAACACGTGGAGGTGTTCTAACGACAGCGAGGAGGTTTGGAGTTATCATCCGTCTCCCTCACCTGCCACCGCAGGATGAGCCAAAACACCGCTACCTGGGCCCCTTCTCACTCGCACGCGTCACTGGGACCAACACTTCCCAGTACTTCAATCAGAGTCTCCACTGGCTCCCACCACAGACGACTTGAGGTTGTTAACCAGACAACAGACGGATTTCTGCTGCCCAGAAATAACATTTTGCTTGCACTGTTACTCTTTCTGAGAATGTGCTGAGGGCTAATTTACTCATTTGGAATTACACAGAGCCTCCTGAAAAAGTAGAGAGACCCAGTAGGTAATGCCTACCTGGGTAAACTCGCGTGATAATAAGAATAATGTATGTGTGTATGTATGTTGAACTTCATTTGCACTGTGCATAGACAGCCATGCTCAGTCAGCGGTGCGGGGGAAGGACAACAAACTAAACACAAAATGCAGTTCTCAATAAATTAGTTTTCAATCTAGATGATGATTTAAAAGTTCGTAGTTCCAGTGGCTTCATACAATCGGAAAAAAGAGCGTTCCAGACGACTGCAGAAGCGCATCTGAAAGCGCACGATGCAGTGATCGTCTTTGTTCGATGGTTAGTCAAAAGTCACTGCGGGGATGACCGGAGTTTGCGTGATGATTCATGCTCCTTGAGATCAGAAAAGGTATTGTGGTTCATTTACGGCAAGCACTGTGTGTGTTGTAATGAGTGCCTATTACACATTGCATAATGCAATGATGCAAAGTGCCCTTCCTAAAATGCCTAGCAACTGCCCCACCACTCATATGCTCGCTGCGCCATGGAGACGGGAAAGCGGTGTTTTACTGACTTTGCTCGGAAATCCTCGGCAGCCAGGCGCCCGTTGTCCAGCTCCACGTGCAGACGTGCGTTGGTCATCGTGGCTTTCAAAATCTGCGGCGACACAAGGGCAGAAGTTGGCCCTGAATGTAACCCGTGCCTGGTAGGTGGAAATGTGCCCCCGATACTTATACGCCGGCCGTGGAGATAGAGCGTTGGAATCGGCTTGCATTGCAGGAGATAGGTAATAATTTTCTATAGCGTCATTCATGCAATTGTATCCCACAACACTGCACATCAATAAGCCAGTCCCTTACACAGATGATACAAAAACAACTGTTGGCTTGGAGAGGGCTTCATAAAGCAGTGGATAAATCATGGCTGGTGATTATTATGGTAGCGGCCATTTATCAACATCAGGGATGCAATAGGGGTATCGCTAAACTACGTTGGTGGTCCGGAGCCAATTGTGGAAATTTCACATTTCCAAGGTGGATGGTGGGCCGATATCGAAACACGATGAATTTGGTGGCATTGTGTTAACGTGGTACTCATTTAATCGACCCCCTTGGGAGAGATGATAAGCCGAGCCAACCAACCGACAGCAGCATTTAAGTTCACAGTCCCTCCCATTGTGAGTTGAGCTCTCAGGAGACAACCCCAGTATAATGGCAAGAGGCGTCATTATGCAATGTGTATGAGCTGCAAGTCAGAAACGAAAAAAAACAACGGCCCGCAAGGGAAAACATACAATTTCGGGAAAAAGCCCTTCTTCGTGGCACAGAGATGGCACGATGAAGTGCCATTTCGCTACATGTCACCTGTTGTCTCTATTGTATATATACATAATTCCCTTTCAGAGCAGTGCTATTGACACGTGTGACGAGTTATGTGTGCTCGTGCACCACCGCCAATGCAGCATCGCTAAACAAACGTTTGTCGCACTCCCGGCCAAAAGGCGCCCCATTTTTCATTCAAGGGAGGACGTTCGCGTGGCCGATGCCCCCACAACGGCGGCTCGGCGACAACGCCATGCAAGAGCCCGGCCATCACGAGACAGCGAGCCGGTCGAATAACCTACCCCGAGCAGCCAGCGAGGCAGCGTCAGATTACACCACACACACACACGCGCGCGCGCGTGCACACGTGTCTTAGTCTAATGCATGCAAATAGAGGCTTACCGGCTACTGCAATATTCAAAGGCTGCCAGTTATAATGGTACCTTGTGAAAATTAGATATTGCCGAAAGAGTCACGTTACAAAAGCTGCCCGGATCTTGGCCCACGGTGAATTTGCACAACATTTAATTAGCATGTGTGTGATGGCTTTGTGCTTAATGTGATTTTACCCGAACGTGGCTCTTGCGTTTAGGCTGTGGTGGCATCAGCTGATTATATTTTTCATATTTGGAAATTATGTTGGGCTTGTCTTTGCCCTCTTACGTAAGGGAATGAGACTCCCAAAACACCGTAGATAATCCGTGAAAATTAATGATGCAAATGTTCAAGAATCGAAAACAAAGCAGGCACACATTTCCTCCTCCCCACCGCACCCCAATTGTACATTATATTCATCAATGTTTAATATTTCATCGTTTTTTTTATGCATTATTTAATATTTATGTTTAATTACAGCTGTGTTTAGTTGATTTTTGTTTTCAGTGCGGCATTGTTTTTGTTTGCATTTCAGAATTTGCTGTTTTGTTGAAGTTGTGCTTAAAATCTTTAGATTTTAATCAGGTATCTAAAAAAAAATCATACTTTCTATCACAACGGGCCCTTGCCTGGTTACAAGTGAAGAATATCAACCAAATGTTTAACAATCTTACAGCCCTTTGTCCATCCACTTCCGGATCAAAGCCCCCCTCCCAGCATGTGGATCAGGGGGGGTGGTATGCTGTCCTAGTCACGGAGCTTGCTTGACCATACCTCTCTGTACCGGCCAGTACTTGTTGGTGAAGGAGGTGGTCAGTATCACACGCCACTGACGACATGTAAATACATATTGTTTTATTTTTAAACGTTAAGCGGCCCGCAAGAAAACAGCACTCTGGAAGTTGTGATATATAAGAGTGTGCAACTACGGTTCTTATTTTATCATGTTTTATTTTTGTTATTTTATTATTTCCCTTCTACGGGACTTTACCGAAAGAACCAAGAATATAAATCCCTGCAGTCACGAAAGCTTTAAAAACGGTTCTTGAATTTAGCAAGGTCGATCGGTATGAGGGGAATGTTCGCTAGGTAATATTGGCCGTGGAATTGAGCTCAGGTAGCCAGGACCGGCACGAGATTTTGTTGTTGTTGCAATGTGTTTATCCTTCACGTATGTTTAATTTCCACCAAATACTTTACATAGCCGCTCAACATGTATGTTAAATGGGGCACGATATTTGTTTGCTCTGCTAAGCGCTGGCAGCAAATGTCATGCGATAGCCGGGCTCACAAAACAATCTGCAAGTCACTGTTCCGCCCATCGTTTTGCCTCTCAGCTGGCTACGAGGTTCACATATCGTCTGCCCGTTGTAAATATAAATAATGAAAATACTCATTTGCAATGGGAATTTCTGCGCGAAACCCGAGCGAGTAAAATTAATAGCGGGTTGGAGGTGTCACCATCCTTTACCACTCGCCTCCCTGCGAACGCTGAAAACCCGTGCACACTTCTGCCGTGAATGTCGACGGCCAATTGTGCTCGCTTGAGACTCAATCGTACGGGTCCGTACAATTGCATTCTAACTTTGCGAACAACTTGTGCGCCGTATCCAGATCGCACGCGCCGGCTCCACTCCCGTGCAGAGAGCAAACGAAAGCGCAGCGCCACAAGTAGCTCAAGGGGCAATGATGAGTTCACTATAATGTCACGCTCGCACTTAGATCATTGTTATGTATGTGTACATAAAACAGAAGGCTGCTTCTAATATCACAACTAGACATTGATTTGGGCTTGTAACGAGTCTATTGCAGTTGTTGTTTCGCGCCCCCATGAGATACAATGAAGCTGTGGAGCTCGTGGCATGGAAGTTGTCCTACTCGCCCAGAATACGAATCCTGTTTCGGGCCCTCAATGAACGGGCTGGCACCACCACCACTGCTGCCCACTGGACAACCAAAACCCGCGGCAAGACATCCTCCAAAACCAGTATACCCCGCCGTCATACCGCACCATCATACCGCACCACTACACCAGCCCGTCATTCCGCACCGTCACGCCACACCATCACAACGCACGTTCACGCCGCACCGTCACGCCGCGCCTGGCCACACCACCCGTCCCCACCTGGCCCCGCAGCTCGCGCGCGGCCTCGTGGTACTGCCGCAGCTCTACGGCGCCCGAGGGTCGCTTCTCCACCAACTCCTTGATCTGCAGCTCCGTCCTGCGGTTCGCCTCGTCCAGGGATCGAACGCGCTCGATGTAGGTGGCGAGCCGCCCGTTGAGGCCCTGCATCTCCGCCTTCTCGTCCCCGTGGAGCCCCTTGAGGGTGGGCAGAGAGGACATGGAGGACGCGGAGGCGATGGTGGCCATCCTCCTGCCGGGGGCCATCCTGCTGGAGGAGGAGAAAGAGCGAGTGGTGGCCGTGCGTGGCGAGGAGCTGCCACTCGCGCTGTGAGAGGAGAACGACATTGGTGCCCGGTGAGATGCCCCTGCTGCTGTTGCTACTGAGTACAGGTGTGACGATGCTGCTGTTGCTACTGAGTACAGGTGTGACGATGCTGCTGTTGCTACTGAGTACAGGTGTGACGATGCTGCTGCTGCTACAGGTGTGATGCTGCGGCCGCTGTAGCACAGGTGTGGTGACGGCGCGAATGTTGTACAGGTGTGTACAGGTGTGATGATGCGATACAGATGTGATGCTGCTGTTGTACAGGTGCTCTTGCTGCCGTTCTAGAGGTGTGTGTGTGTGTGCAGGTGTGATGGTGATGATGTAGATGCTGCTACACAGATGTGATGCTGTTCCTTCTGCCCCAGTTGTGTGCCGATAGACTGAGGAACAAGTCTCAGCTTGTTTGACCCGTGCGAGGGGGTGGACTTCCAAACGGTGACGAGTGCAGAGGTCCGACCGTAAAGATTATGATACAAGTCCACTATACAAGTGTCTTTATATGCGAGCGTGTGTGTGCGAAGTGTGTTTGTACGGCCAGAGTGTTCAGAGTAGGTGCTGATTGGTCAAAGCTCACAATTGGCAGGCGTGGATTGGGCAAAGTCAAAGAATGCACAGAACTCAACGGGTTAAACTCCACCGTGAACCCGCACACACACACACACGGGCATACACACCTGCCGATCCTGATAGGTAAAATATTAACGTGTGTAAACAAACTGGGGAATTGCCTTTTGCTAATGTCAACCCTGGACGTAGCTAACAACGTTTACAAGTAGAAACAGGCAGTTGACACTGAATATACCCACACACACAAAACAAATATCCAAAGTATAGCCTTCACAGACTTTTGGGGAAAGTGCTGTTAGCCAGTAACACCTATGATGAAGGCCGACACGACACACGAGGGGGTGGGTGGCCAGCACCACGCCCGACCGCATTAGTTTCCATAGTAGCGATGCTTACACACCGCACCAGGTACTAATTTATGGCTGAGTCGACCTAGGGGGGGCCAGGACCGGTTCAGATAATCGTCACTGGTGTGGGTGGCCGTGAGAGAGAATCGAACTCGGGTCGTTGGGTTCGTAGCGCAGCGCACTAACCGCTACACCACCGCTCCCCATATACTGTACACATAGACATCACATACACATAGCCATAACATACGCATAGACACATATACACAGATGCACGAACGTTTATTTGGCTATACACTTGTAATTAGAGGTTGGTGAACAATCAGTGCTGTCAAGAATTAAAAAAATGGGTGAACTCCCTCGACTCTGGTCAGACCAAGCAGGCAAAGGCCAGGTGAGCTCCATCGCCTTCGGGCGGGTGTCACTAAACACATCTCTCGAACTGCGATTTGTTGTGTTTAGTAAAGTTGTCCTCCCCCAGCACCCTCCGATTAGCGCGGTGGGCTACGTGCGGTGCGAAAGAAGTTCAACATACGTACGCACATACAAATGGACAACGAGTGGTCATCACTGAGGTCGATGACTCGCCTTAACGCATGGATTCGCTACATTCTACGTTTTATTTTATTTGAAAAAAAAATCCACATTACGGTCACGTACACACTTCACGTGGCGACAGTAGCAGTGGTTTCGTTCATTTCATTCTGAAACCGGCGAACTGAGTTCCATTTCCCAGCCACGGCTAACATCAGTGGCTATGCAACAACTCAAACCACTATCATCTGCGCTCCTTCGACGGAGAACTTCACGAACTCTGTCTTGAAGCCCTCTCGTGACAAGCAGATCTCGAGATATTAATAATTCGACTTGAAGCACGCACATTATTCACTCACTGGCATTCATCTCCTGAGCCCATTGTCATTACGCAACAATAGAATAGTGGCGAGTTATATCTGTAACTGGTTTTGGATGCCTCCACTCCCACCCCGCACTGACCAGCGTGACGAGATATGATACAACAGCACCCATGACTGTCACGGTGTGTGGGCGGCATTCATCATCAACCGTCATTTGACAAAGGGCTTTAAATTACGATTATTGTTGTTATTTGTACTTTGAAATACCGTGCCTGCCCCGGCTTTCAATCTGATATGTGCGCCATTTAGTCTATTTACTGTGTGGGCGGCTGGGTCTTATGAGGGCCATCGGGTGTGTCACTGAGTCATTTATTTGCGGTTCGATTCCCAGTCGAAGCCACATCCCCCCCAACCCAATTCCGCTTCGTTCCCCGGGAGAAACCAAAAACGCCGCGAAGCTCCGTCGCTTGCCAGGAAGTGGACGTTAAAGGGACTCCGTGGCATAGTTCGCAAGAGCAGGCCCGTCGTGGGTGCCAGTGCTGTGCTCTAGAGTCAAAGCAGTGGCGACTCCATGCACGTCAGCCTGCAGCTGACACTGCTGTGCCTCGACACCAGACGTGCGGCGAAATGTTAACTCCCTCGCCTGGTATGCAGGAGGTCGTGGGTTCGATCCCGACCCTGACGCCTGCTGCTGTGTATTTGGAGTTTGCGTGTCTCTCTCTCATCATCATCACGGTGGCTAGGAGATGTTAACTACCTCGCCTGGTATACAGGAGGTCGTGGGTTCGATCCCAACCCTGACGCCTGCTGCTGTGTATTTGGAGTTTGCGTGTCTTTCTCTCATCATCATCATCACGGTGGCTAGGAGATGTTAACTCCCTCGCCTGGTATGCAGGAGGTCGTGGGTTCGATCCCGACCCTGACGCCTGCTGCTGTGTATTTTGAGTTTGCGTGTCTCTCTCTCCCCGTGGTCGCGTGGATTTTTTTGCGGGTCCTGTGGTGTTTCCCCTCCACATTTAGAAACACGCGTTTAAAGTATTTGGCTGCTATACATTTTCATGTGATAAACCACTTAATTTAGCTATCATTTGTGGCCAGGTTGCTTCTGAAAAGAGCTACATATCTCCGTTGGCTTCACCTGGTGAAATAAAAATATTTTATAGTTTTTATTTTATAGTTTAAACCGGGAGGCCTTCTTGCAGTGACAGAAGCGACGATTGTGTGTGTGTTCATCATATGGGGCCCGCCAATAGTTTTTTTCGTATTTGCACAACTCTGAGCACTTTACAATGCCCTTGTTAAAAAAGAATCATTCACAAATGCAATTTGCGACGGATTGTACCATTCACAAATATCTTCTTGGTTCTTTCGGTAAAGTCACGTAGAAGGGAAATAATAAAATAATAAAAATAAAACATAATAAAATAATTCTCACGACGTTTTGGCCACAACGCAAGCAGCCGTTGTGGCCGAAACGTTGTGATAATTATTTTATTACGTTTTATTTTTATTATTTTATTATTTCCCTTCTACGTGACTTTACCGAAAGAACCAAGAAGATGAATCCCTGCAGTCACGAAAGCTTTAAATCGAAACATTCACAAATAGTTTAAATGTTTTACTTCTCATGTACTATAGTCACAAACAAGGTGTTCCAGATTTTTGTCCCTGTCGTGCCTCTTGGCAAGAGGAACGCGGTAAATACTTTGGATTAATGATTGCCTAATGCCATGACGACCTCACTTCCTTCACTGCGGAATGATGTTGACTGGTGACAGCGCTCTACTGCAGCCCTGTGACTGCACGGCTGGATGAATGCCTCCCCCACGCCATGTCGGTCGTGGGGGCCGTTTGACCATACTTCACCGCGACGCTCAGAGTGGGCTTAAGTAGAGGCCGCCAGGACATATCACTCAGGACTCGAACTCAGGAGGGCTGGGTTCATAGCGAAGTGTGCTAACCAATGCGCCACCGCTCCTCCGATAAGTTTATACCTTAGTGCTTACATTACAAAATGGGAGTAAAGTTTACAAAAAATGCCCTGTAAGCTTTGTGTCGGCATGACTATATTATAATGCAATATTGCAATCATAAAATTGGCGCTGGCGTTTTATCTTGAGAACGTAATACATTTGCACAGGGAGTGTCCCAAGTTGAGTCAGCACGGCAAGGAGGTTTATTACATCCTAAATATGTGGAGTGTGAGTGTTGTCATCTACCCGTGTGTGTGTGTGTGTGTTCTCCGGCAGGCAAGGCTGCGTTAGCTTGGCCATGTAGCCCGTATGCCCAGCCACCGTATGCCTAAACAGCTTTTGTTCGGCCGGATCGAGGAGGCTAAACGAGCGCGGTACGGGCTAGAGAAGAGATGGAGTGATGTGGTACAGGATGACGTGGAGCTGAGTGGACTTGCCGATGACTGGTACCAGCGGTGTCAACATCGGCCTCTCTGGAGGAGGCTGGTGAAGGACGCTACTGGGCAGTTGGAGGCAGTCGCCCTCCAACAACAACGGAGGGCGGAGGAGCGACGCTCATAACAACGAGCGGAGCGCCGGGTGGCTAAAACACAGCAAGTTGGCACAGTAGGGGGCACAGGTGGTGAATCAGCCAGTCGTCTCAGTCAGTCGACCCGTGGCACCTGGGTCTGCCCCGTGACCTCCTGCCAACGGGCTTTTGACAATTCACGTGGCCTCAAGGTGCACATAGCCTGGCACAAGTGTCGTGGTGACGTCACCGCCACTTAGTGGCGAATGGTGGTTGTTGTTGTTCTCCAGGTACTCCGATTGCCTCTCCGTCTCACCAGGAAGCCAACAAATGCGCGCACACGACCTTCCCAGAAGCAGGAATCTCTTGAAATTGAGTCACGTGACTGGGTGACATTTCCCTGGGGTCAGCAGCAGCTGTCCCGCACATTTACAAAGGCAAATATATCGCTCGTTTAGCCTCATAGGCTGCAGCAAACGAGGGATACAAATCACGATCATAAATGAGTAGATTTTGTATTCGTGCCATTATTACACGAAGTCGCTATGGTTCCGACATAGTCTGCCGTAGGTTCACGGTACGGATGCAACGTTACTGTGTACGGTCCCACACACAATGGCCTCCTCATTTCGAACGACGTCGCGGGGTCTTTAACGTTCACGATTAGCAACGTTTGGCCTACGTACGGCGCGAGAGAAGTTCGGCGCACATACGCACGTACATTTTCAGGTTGCTGCACGCGGCGGTATTTACCGGGGCAGCCTGCGGTTTCGAACCGCCAACCTCTGTCGCAAGCGGCGAAGGCGCTACCGCTGGGCCACGTCACCGCCCCCGCACAACGTTTGTGAGCACTGATGAAGGTAATCCCCTGGTTTTGTCAGGACCGCACCCAGTCACCTTTGTCTCCCCAGTGCCAACATGTACACACCACAGCAGGTACTCAAGTATTCAACGCCTTGTAAACCTAGGCCAGGGTGTCGGCCAACCAAAATAACAAGAAAAACACATTTTTGTTCGAATTTTTGTTCGAATTTTTGTAACGAAAAAAAAAACTCTCAACATTTTCAATAGCCGCAATGCACCGTGGTGAATGCGAGACGGTGGGTCTCTTGATAAACATCGGCACGAAGCAGTCCTTGAAAGAGCCGCTGCATGCGGCTCCTGATTCGCGGGATGTCGACCCCCTGAGTCGTCAGCCGAGGACCTGGAAATGTTCACACGACACTTGCCACAGGTGCCACCTACGCCTCGGAATATAACTCACATCCACCCACCCAC